AGTGCCAAGTTGGGAACCTGGCAGCAGTCTCAAGCAGTGCGTTTGGGTTCCTGTTGAAACCCATCCGAGTCTTGGCGCATTCAAACCTTTGACATGTTTTCTCACACCGTGGACAAGACAGGGTCTATGGGCCTGACTCTAATTTACATAAAGCAAAGTTGTAGCACTGCCTGCAACAATGGTCCAGAGAGGTTGGTCGCTACTCGCTTCGGTCCATTCGAAATAGGCGAAACAGGATCGCTTCAAGGCCAACCAACTCTCTTCTCAAAGTTACGCCCTATGAAGGGATTGAGACAGGGTGACTGGATTTCCTTTTCCAAAGTTGAACAAGGTGGGTCCCACAGAAACAATTGACACTTTTGAAGGTGTAAACAGTGGAAATGGCTCGGACCTCCTGTTTCCCCAACCAAACACAACAAATGGAACGACCACGAAACAAATCCGTCCATTTCCCCTGGTTTCAGTTTATTCCCAACATTTGGGCCCGGATCATTCCCTACCGATATCGCACCAGCAAGTAAAAAGTGGCCATGGGGGAAAAAACAACGTTCACTTTGTCGGGCTAGCTTTTTTTACTGGAAGCCGCCAAAAGAATCAAAAGAAAGCCGGAAACGCCAGATTGAGCAAATATAGGAAACAAAACAAGAAACCACAAGAAACCACAAGAAACCACAAGAAACCACAAGAAACCACAAGAAACCACAAGAAACAACAAGAAACAACAAGAAACAGCAAGAAACCACAAGAAACAACCAGCAACAACAAGAAAAACAGAAAGCCAAATGGAGACTCTAAAAATGGGTGACCCTGGACTCGACCGGCCTTCCAGTGGCACCTCCTCGAGCGGGATGGACAGCAATGCGCGCTGCCTGCACACAAGTTCACTTGGGTCCCCAACAGCCGGGGAAGCCTTTTTTCTGGATTTCTTGTCTTTTTCTCCTTTTTGGTTTTGAAGTAGTTGTTTTTCTTTGGATTTTGAAGCCACACCAAGAAGGAAGCCAACCTAGAGAGGTCCCGAAATGGTCGGTTTCGGTGAGGAGGCATGAAAGGGCCAGAAATTTCATGAACCATGTCCCGCTTAGCTTGGCCTCTCTGAAAATCCCGAGTGGGCAAACTTGAGGACGTTCTGCCGAATATTGATTGACAAACCGGTTGACCCCGCAATGTTGCAACTCTCTTTCAATCAATAAAGTCCAACCCAGTTTCAACTAAAATCGCCAGCCTTATCCACAGCCAAAAAGCACACAGAGATTGCAAACAGCACATGCGTAGCAAGACTCACGAGAGCACAAGCAAAGCAAGTTGCGCGAGAGAACACGCGCAGCAAAATGCACGGGAGAACACACGCAGCAAAATGCACGGGAGAACACGTGCAGCAAATTGCACGAGCGAAATGCACGAGAAATCTCGTGCGAGATGCCTTGCGCGAGACTTGTGGACCAGAAACTCTGCGAGTATGACACAAATGAGATGCTTGCGCGACTTTTTGCTTCGAGGAATCGGTGGATGCTTTTGCTACTTTTTGGTGTGCAAAAGTCATTTGCGGTTGCAAGCCTCACTGTCTGGGCAAAAGTGCGCTTCTTGTTGCGAGACAGGAGTCATGAACCGAGGTGCAGGTTGAGGCCGCCCGACTTCGAGGATTTTCCAGCAAACAGTTCGGCTTGCTTTGGCCAATCCGTGCAGGAAAAGAGCCAAGTGGGTCAGTCAGGCTCGTCTCCAAATAGGAGGGTTCCCTTTGATTTCTGGAAAGCTAACCTCTAAAATTGAGCAGATTTGATGTGTTTTGCGGCCCCCACAAGGTTGGTTAGCAAAATGCCCATTTCCCCCATCAACTGGCAACATGGGGGGGTGCTCTCAAATCAGGAACCGCTGTCGGTGGAGCTCCCAACCGATTTCAAGATGTTGCTTCAAGGATTGTGTTGGTTGGTTTGCCGGAAGAACACTTCGCAATGCTTTTGGGCAAAACCACAAGGAGATCCAGATGGGCAGTCTCCCTTTCATGCCCCCAACCAAACCAAAAAAGGCGCAACAAGATTAAGTGGTAGGTTGAAGGGAGACAACTCCATTCATGGGTGTCCTTTTGGGAACATAGATGGCCCCTGCAGATAATGAAACAACCAGGTCAACCAGGAATCGCCATCTACGAATCCTGCACCACCTCAAGACGCCCTGGAATGATTCGATTCCCCGCGAATACCAACCAACAATGGTTTCAACCATGGTTTCATTTCGTGGTGCTAAATGGATGTTGTCCATCCACAGAATGTGTCCTTGTTGGTTGTTTTGGACAATAGAAGGCGATTGCTGGCTGACCGATCGGTTGTTTCCGTCTCCACTCCGATTTCCACCTACCACTTGACTTTTTGTGAGCTCCCTTTCTGGCTTTGGTAGGGTCACGAAAGGGAGACTGCCCATGTGATTTTGCGGGATCCCCTTTTGGTTTTGCTCAAAATACGCCAACCTTCCGTCTGCTTAAGTCCCCCGAACCAAAATAAACACATGTTCAGTAGTGAAACCGATTCCCTCAAAACCAACAAGGCCAACATATTCCACCAAATATCCTTTGACCGTGGATCCCTTAAGCAGACTCCGGAAAGAAAAGCCTGCGGATTCCCCGAAGCCGAGACGGACGGCGCCCGCGGGGGCCCGTGCCCCTTGGGGGAGTTCTTGGGCGTGGAGAGGCTCTCGCCCATGGCTACCAGGTCCGCTTCGTGGTCCCCCGAGATGGAGCGGATCCTCGCCGCCAAGGGATCGGTGGGGTGGGGTGGGTGATCTGGGTTGAGGTTCGAGCTACTTGGTGGTCGTTTTTTTTTTTTGGAAGAGGTGGCTACTAGGGTGGCTACTAGGGTGGTTACTAGGGTGGTTACTGGGGTGGTTACTGTGGTTACCAGGTGGTTGTTGGTTGCTAGGTGGCTACTCAAAAAACATGGTTTAGGGGATGCCTGCGAAAGGGAGTTGGCTGTTGCGGCTCGGTATTCGAAGGTTGGAGCAACGGGAGACCAAAAGCAAAACCATCCCCTTTGTCACATACACAAAATCCCAGCTCGGTAGAATTAGGGAACCTTTTTGTCGGGTTGACGCAAAATAATTGGACATCTGGTGTCCGTCAGGGCGAAGGGGGCTGGGATGTGTCCACAGATTCAGAACACCTGCTTGGGTGTCCAATGGGCATTGAAAAAAAAAGGGGCTACCCGGATGGAGCTGGCTCGGGGATGGTTTGGGTTTTCGGCAGCGTAAGCGGTGTGAAGGGGTAGCTTGACCTCTGAAGGATTGCTTAGTGTTTGTGCCTTACTTCATTTTGGGAGTGGGGTACTGAGCTATGATTTTGAATCCGGGACTCTTTTGTGGACATCATTCACATGGGTGCAGTGTTTAGGATTAACCTCTCAATGTTTGTCAATCCTCAACCAATTCCAAATGCCCTATGACGATTTGAGCCTTTGGAACCTGTGTGCACTTGTATGTGAAGGGCATGTGCCATCGCGAGATCTTCGGAAGCGAAAACCCAGCGACTGTCCCGCTTTCGCACCCTTTTGACCACCCTCCTCCAAACGATTTGGCCTACACCCCCTACCCAGACCTCCAGTTGTTTTGGGGAAATACACTGGGCTCTCCGTTGTGGACGCGTAGTTGATTTTCACCAGGGGTCCCTGCATTTTCCCCTTCAGTTGCAACTTCCTGGTGGTTGCAAGATAAAACCGCAACCTTTGGTCCAAGAACGGGCAATTGAGAAATCCCGAACAGCTGACAGCTGGCTTGCACGGCTTGCACCTCGGTCTCAGCCAATCGCGCGGTCCTGGGTTTCAAGCCTTGCATCGGCATGGCGCTTGCAAGCGTTGCTTGGCCGACCCTTGTCGGCACTGAGAAGCCGAAGCCGAAGCCGGGTCCGAACCCGGCTGGCAAAACAAATCCTGAGAACTCCTAAGACAAATCCAAGTGATTTTTGTAAACCCCCGGCAAAAAGTCAAACCATTCTTAGGACATTGAACATTTGGACAGGAACACATCCCATCCTTCGGCACCTTGGCCATTGCTGGGGCTTGGTTGGTGGCCCCAAACTCCCCCGATCGGGGATTGGCTTGCCCCCAAATTTCGGGTTTCATGGCGAAAAGAACTTGGCTCCCGGAAAGCCCTGGGGTCGCCACTTGGAACTTGGAACTAAGGACATGAGAAGCTTTTCAGCCAGCAGCGTCGGCGCGGGCATGTTGACTCAAGGCCAGCTCGACAGCTATGAGCGCCGGGATTCCGTCGTCTCCAAGACCCGGGTCAAGGGGAAAGTTTGCGCCTGGCGTTGGGGAAATTCATCAAATACATTCTCCAGCCTGGTGATTCGATCATCTTTTAGAGGCTCATGCGAAGCTGCAAACAAGGAGCAACAGGCCCTGGATCCTGCCCCATCTTGTGTGTCACGAACATGCACATACACACACATACCAATGCACAAGCATACAAATACACAAACACACAAAAACGATTTACCGCGTTTCCTTGGTTCATATTTGGGGGATCCACCACTAGCTCCAAATGTTAAGCACCACCTACAACCTACTGTGGATGGACAAAACTGAACTTCGCACCACTTTGCAGGTGGTTTCTCCCAGTATTCAAATTGGGTTTCATCCGTCCCAAGTGCCGGAGTTTGTCCATCCACAGTCCCTTCTTTGTCCATATCCCATAGCTCCAGTGGACTGTCCAGGATGGTTGCCCGCCTCTTTTTGGGTTGAAAGGTAGCCCAAAGAAGAAACATGGCCATGGAATTTCTGGAGGTCTGGGAAAGGTAAACCTGACTTTTTGGCACCTAGAGGATCTACAGCTCGTTTTTGCCGTCCCGAAGCGGTCGCCAAAAGGCAGAACAAAAGAGACAGCCATTTGTTGTCTCGCTACATGGGAGTTTGCAGAGTTATCCCAAAGGCAACTTGGTCAATGTACCCCCATCCCATTTACAGCAGATAGTACTTGACTGCTACTATCCAAAGAGGTGGAGGCAAACCACTTCCCGCCTCCGCTGGTGCCAGAGGTCGCCCACTCTGCGCCGCTTGCAACAACTCTGCCTCCGATTCGGCGGGAGAAGGGCTGAACTTGGGACCAAATTCTGCAGGAATGGGTAACACCTGATTTGAATACTGGGAGGAACCACGAATCCCAACTGGTGCAAAGCGGATCATGTAACCACCCACATTGGCTTGAGGACGAGAAGGGGGCAAGCATCTCCGGGTGGAACGAAGTCATTCTGTCTGGGGCTTCACAACTGGGGGGGGGGTCACTGTCATTTTTTTGCCTGTTCCACAACCCCGAAAACACATCTGCTGAAAAGAGATCCGCCCTGCGGGTAGCTCGCAATGCTAGGGTGCCTGGAAATTTCGCGGGTGCCCTGAAATCAAAGGTTTTGAGGAGAAACCAAATGGGGGGGTTCCTTGAGTAGATAGTCGAGCCACCCAAGTGACTCGGGGTTCTGAATGCCTCCTAACAGCCAAAACAAGCCGTTGAGCCGACATTAGACCCCCGTCACAAATAGTCGCTAGTCAGCGGCATCGGTCGACGACTCGTTTCCGGTTAACTTTCTCCCGCGGGAACCCCTGAAATGTCCACCTAAAGACGTTCGAATTCCGTATCGGTCGCGAACATTGCCACCAACCTCCGTATTCTGCATTCCTTTGAATAGACACAAACGGTCGGCTATCGTCAAAACACAGGGGTTCGTTCCTGGGTCATTGACTGCCGAATTGAACCCCGGACCACGCTCCAGGCCTTGTGCCCCCCAGCGACCTTCAGCCACTGACCCTTGTGCCGGGCAAAATCTTCACCTTAGAGCGCGTGCCTGGAAATGGGCGACGCCAACATGGCGGTTTCCGTCTTTGCTTCCCTTTTAACCTACCCAAAAAGGGTACCCAGCCCCACAAAAAAAGACAGGCACACCCATCGGGTGCACAAAAAGATGCACAAACGGTACCAACCCCAAAAACGGCGAGCCAAACGGGGGGTTTTTGGGTCCCGGGGGGGGGTTCATTGGACCTGCCTTTTGCTCCCGGCTCGTGAGAGTGCATCTCGAATGGCCATTGGTCACTGCGATGTTGGATCGTAAAAAGGCACTACCGCCTGTTCACTGGGAATTGAGCGGCATTTGTCAGCAGTGTCCAAAGTGACATCAGAGTTACCGTCTTTTCTGGGGATCTAGAGTGACCCAACAGAAACTTTGAGAATCCCTCAACATGTTAACTTTAATCAGGGGCCGTTGGACGGGTTCTAAGCTGGTTCCGATCGCTGGCGATACAGGGATGAGGAACTTCTTTGTGGTTTTTACCCCCTCAACGAATTGGCCACCCTGTGGTTTCCTTTCCTTTTGCATTCACGGCTTTCAGCCGGTTAACCTCAAAGACATAAAAATCCTTGGGGTTTCGCTCCCTAGGCATCCCCCGGAGTCACCCGGTTTCACGCCGCGCGGCAAGCGGCGAGGATCTCCTCGGCGCCATGAACGGCCTGGAGCAGGGCTCTCTCCCGTGGCCTCGTCTTAATGGACTGAAGATGGGTATGTCTCGAACGAGGGACCCCAACACTGGTGTTTTTCCCTTTGGCTTTAACCTACCCTTTAAAAACACAGACACCCATACTTGGGGTTTCAGAGAACAGTACATGTTGAGGTTGAATCTGCAACAGACTCCGAAAAGCGCGTGCCCTGAAATTGGGGAGCAACTCATGGCGTCAAGATGCTTCTCTATGACCCACAGATGCCTGCAACGTCTCCAGCAGGTTGGCCACCTTGCGGTACCTCGGAAAATGCCACACCTTGCCAACCCCCCTTCGAAACCTGGTACTGCAGTGGTCTACCCAAAGCTAGGTCAAGAATTAAGCATGTACCCCACCCACCCAAAACCAAGCAGAAACAGCCAACAACAACACACAACACCAAACTACTTCAGGAGAGGATTGTGAAAGACAGCTGCGCACACATCTTTTTTTGGCGAGCAAGTTGGTTGAAGCGGAATTTTGGAGGCCGATCGGTTGCTGCTCGCCCATGAGCCCAAGGAGGATCTAGGGGGGCAAACAAGCACCGCGGACCGAACGGGATTTGAGCTCTAGGGTTCAAGCTCACAGTGGCTCAAACTTGGGTCGACTGCCCTACTCTCTTCTTGAAGGTTATCATTTTTCGAGGAATCTCCTCGTGGACACCCCCCCCTCCCCCGTGCAACTACTGGTTCCATTCTACTCTTTACTTTTTATTCAATAGTCATGCAGCTTGTCGTACTGTTTGGAACAGTCCAACACTCCCCCCAGGGTTCAATGTTCTAACCCAAATCGACGCGGTTTCAATGGACTGAGTGTTCTGACCCCAGAGGCAGCGCTCGCGCTGCGGGTGCCTGGCAGTCTTGAAACTCTCGCCTGAACAGGCGACCTTTTGCTTGGATCGGAAAGGGACACCACATATGTTTTTTTGTTGTTGTAGGGTACCCTTTCTCGGATTGCCTTAAAGGGACACACCAAGAGGAAATCCAATTGTGGCACCGAAAGGGGATGTTCGAAACATCAAGGTTGAACCGTTGTCCCCTTGCAATTGCGGCTGCCTTTAGACTCCTTAGGATTCACCAATTTGCTGAAGGTGCAGCTAGAGAATCACAGATTTGCCACTGCCCTGCCAACGCTGGTGTTTTCCGCTGTGCGAAACGTGCTGATATTGCTGGTTGGAACGCGTGTTCCAACCAATCTTGCGACAAGAGCCCAAGGCTCCAGTGAATTTCCACTGGCAAAAACGGGTGCCTGTTGGTTTGTCGTTGATTTCAATTGGACGCCAAACAAAACCAACCGCCCGGGTATCCCCCCGAAAAAAGAAGAAGGAAGAAAACAAGAAACCCCGTCGGAGCCCTTCAGGCAATGTGCGCTCCCAACATGTTCGCATTTAAACAGCACGCCACGTAAAGGAGCTCGCTTTCAATGGAGAATTCTACAGACCCCTGAATGGAGAACAGGGCGCTCACTCACGTGAGATCCACTTGCCATGTTGGGGCAGAGTATAAGAGCCGTGCAGACCACCAACCTCTCACCTCGTGGTGGGAATGCTTCCAATTCGTGACTTTGATGAGTTTGGACAGACAGGGGACCCAACTGGGTCTATTGAAGCCATTCCTGCCCAAGGGTACTTCTTCCCTGGCCATACTTTGAGAACCCCTGCACCCCCGGGGAAAACCCCTTCGGTTGGCAAAGGGAAACGAAAGGGACACCACCCAGAGTCATTTGACATCCGGACATGGAGTCCACCGGGACTTCACTTCGAGCGTCCCGAGCATGTCCCTTTAACCACAAAAACAATCCAAGGAAGTCAACATGAAAGGAATCCTTGATTTGGTCCAAAGAAAACAAATCAGGACAATTTTGAGCTTCTGATTCACTTCTGTATCCAATCTACCCTAAACATGATTCACTTCTTCATCTACTCAGAATCGTTCTACTTCTCCAAGAGGTTTCGCCACCCCTTTCGCGACTCTCGTGCCTGCCAGGGTCCCACCGGAAAACAGCGATAGAGCTGTCGCAGGACCTCTTGTTCCTCCTCTGCATCCTGGAGCCGCGTCTCGAAATGAAAAACGATTCTGGAGATGGGAAAACGGCTAAAGTTGCTCCTATTGGCAAATTCTCCGAACATTTCGAGCATCTTCGCTGAGCTTTGAGTTTTTGGCAAGTTCGCGAAGGACAGCTCTTAAGCTGATCTGGGAGCCACTCCGGATTCACAAGCCTCGACAAACCAAACGGTCGCTGTGAGGTTCACGCCAGCGATGAAGAACCCCATCTTTGTCAGGGCTCCGTATGATGTATCCCTGCTTTGGGCGACCTTCCCGATGAGCACAAGTTCAACTGGCCCGAGAGGTGATGTTTAACCCCCGCCCGAAAATGCCAGTGTAAGGGCGCTTTTTTTCTCTTGTCAGCAAAATAACAGAACAAACGTAGGTTCATAGTAGAATATGGTGCGCTCGCGCCCACGCCCGCGCCCGCGCCCGCCCCCGGCCCGCGCCCGCGCCACCCGCCCCTTCCGCGCCCGCGCCCGCGCCCCGCCCCCGCCCCCCCCCTCCGCCCCCGCCCGCCCGCCCGCCCACCCGCCCGCCCGCCCGCCCGGGGTGCCGCACGGTTCCGGGTTGGCTCGGGACAGTTCCGAGGTGGGTTCCGGAGGGGTTCGGGGATGTCACCTGAACTTATTATTTTTAGCCCAACTCCCAATATATTGGCCCAAAGTTGTCTAAAGCATACATTGTCGCATGTGAAAGTGGAACCAGCAAACGCTCCCAACCCTGTGGCGGACCATGGGCACGAAGCAAACTTGCGTAAGCCAATGCCAACTTCATAATGCGGCACACATGCTCCATGGGACCTTGAACATACAAATGGGATGTTGCGCTTGGTCTTCGGGACACCCCAAATCGAATGGTTTCGCATCGTTTGCTTGATGAGTCATCCACCGCTTTCTTGGAGGTCGTGTAACTGTTTGAGGCAGCATGCTCGAGCAGTTTTGTGCGCAATATGTTGGATTTACGGCCATGTGTTGCCCACGTGTTTCAGACCCGGGGTGTTGCCAAGTTCAGCATGCCCCCAAGAATCTCCTTGCACTTGCCGCCACCCCCAAACACTTAGGGCTCGACGGCATGTTTTCTCATGTTTCGCGAAGTTCTGGGTCCGGTAACGCTTCTCACAGTGCGGGCACTGCTTGAATCTCCAGTCCTGCAGGCTCGGGGCGGAAAAAGATTCTGAAGCGTAAAAAAAAAGGCCATAACAAAATCGTAAAAGGGCCGTCGTTGAAAGCCTTCCGCAGCCCTCCACACTCACTCCAAGGTAAACCTTTGTGAGAGGTTTTGGTAAGCTTGGCCTGGCACCGCAGCTGCTGTGTGCCGCCCGCCCGCCCGCCCGCGCCCGCCCGCCCGCCCGCACCCGTCCGCCCGCGCCCGCCCGCGCCCGCGCCCGCCGCCCGCACCCGCCCACCCGCCCGCGCACTTGCCCGCACCGGCCCGCACCCGCCCGCACCCGCCCGACGATGCTTGGAAGTGGGGAACCGGAGCCCAGTTGATTCTTCAAGCCTTTTCTGAGAAAGGCTCGACTTAATCAGGAGATCCAGATCATTTGACTGCACAGACGCACACACACAGGCCCCAGGCCTGCGGAGCGGCCAGCTTCCCCGCCCGACGCCCCCCTCTCGCGCAGCCCCCTGCTCGCTCCAGTCCGCCTGAAGCGAGCCGGCCCCGTAAATCCCTCTAGAAACCGATCACCCAGAGGCTCCTGGGCCCTCCTAGGGAGGGTCCGGGGCTCCTAGGGAGGGACCGGCCTGTTTGTCGGATACGGGGCCCACGAGGGGGCCCCCAGTGCAATCCGGACGGGATGGATGGAACCAAAATGGCCTCGAATCACACCTCCCCTAGCATTACTATCCGACGGTTATCCGACGCCGGGCCCTCGTAGACACTCAGTTTTGGGGGCCCCGGCCCAATTATCCGACGGTTATCCGACGGCTATCCGACGGCCATCCAACGGTTATCCGACGGCTATCCGACGGCCATCCGACGGTTATCCGACGGATATCCGATGGTAATTCGAAGCTTGTTTGCAGCCCAAAGGCCCCCAACAAAAAACCAGCCCGAAACCTCCTACGACCGCGAGGCGAGGGCCCAAGGGCCCGAAACATGAGTTGGGAGCGTCTGGGAGTAGAGTTTCTATTTTGTTTGCTGTGTGTGGCTGCCATGCTTTTTGTGCAGTTGGATTTTTTCTAGGCCTGTCACTGGCCTGCTTGGTCGGGCTGCTGATTCTCTTGAAGTGGGATGCTTGTAGTAGGGCTGTGTGGATGTCGCTTTCTTGGCGCAGTTGCTTTTCTTCAGGGCTTGGTCCGGCTGCTGCTTTTCGTGAAGCAATATTTTTTCCGAAGGGCTTCTAGTTTGCTTGTTCTGTGTGGCTGCCGTTTTTTTTTGGTTGTTGTGCAGTTGGTTCTTTTCAAGGCCTGTCACTGGCTTGCTTGGTCTGCCTGCTGCTTTTCGTGAAGTGTTTTGTTTCCATTGGGTTTCTTTGTGGCTGCCGCTTTGTTTCTCAGTTGGGTTTTTCTTCAGGGCCTGTCACTGGCCTGCTTGGTCGGCCTGCTGCTTCGAGATTGTTGTTTTTTGCTTGCTGTCTGTGGCTGCCGTTTTTTTGTGAAGTTGGATTTGTTTCAGTGCCTGGCACTGGCCTGCTCGGTCGGGCTGGTGATTTTAGCAAAGTGGGATTTGTTGTAGGGCTTCGAATTTGCTTGTTGTGTTTGAATGCCACTTTTTTGGTGCAGTTGGATTTTGTTCAGGGCCTGTCACTGGCCTGCTTGGTCGGCCTGCTGCTTTTTGTGAAGTGGGATTTTTCCCGAGAGCTTCTAGTTTGCTTGTTGCGTGTGGCTGCCGCGTTCTTTTTTGTGTAGTTGTTGTTTTTATAGGGGCCTGTCACTGGCTTGCTTGGTCAGGCTGCTGCTTTTCATCGCTTTTCGTGAAGTTGGATTTGTTTAGTAAAGCTTCTAATTTGCTTGTTGTGTGTGGCTGCCATGTGTTTTGTGCAGTTGGATATTTGCTCAGGGCCTGTCACTGGCCTGCTTGCTTGGGCTGCTGCTTTTCGTGAAGTTGGATTTACTTAGTAGAGCTTCCAATTTGCTTGTTGTGCGTGGCTGCCATGCTTTTTGTGCATGCTGTCACTGGCCTGCTTAGTCAGGCTGCTAATTTTCGTGAAGTGGGATTTTTGTAGTAGGGCTTCTAATTTGCTTTTTGTGCGTGGATGCCGCTTTTTTGGTGCAGTTGTTTTTGTTTCAGGGACTGTCGCTGGCCTGCTTGGTCGGGCTGCTGCTTTTCGCGGTCTTGTTTTTTTTAGTAAAGCTGCTGCGTTGTTTGTTGTGTGTGGCTGCCATTTTTTGTTATTGCGCAGTTGGATTTTGTTCAGGGCCTGTCACTGGCCTGCCTGGTCTGCTGTTTTTCGTTTAAGTAAGAATTGAATTGCTTGTTGTCCGCGGCTGCCGTTTTTTCGTTCAGGGTCTGTCGCTGGCCTGCTTGGTTGGGCTGCTGCTTTTCGCAAAGTTGTTTTTTCTGGTTTCTAATTTGGTTGTTGTCTTTGCCTGCCTGTTTTCTGCAGATGTTGTTGGCAATCTTGCTTGCGAAGAGCTGTTGCCTCACGCAGGGCGGTGGGCGGTGGGCGGTGGGCGGTGGGCAGGACATGCGGGTCATCAGGCGGGCCATGCAGGCCACAGCCGGACCAAGCAGGCCAGCGACAGGCCCTGAAGAAAAGCAACTGCGCCAAGAAAGCGACATCCACACAGCCCCACTACAAACATCCCACTTCAAGAGAATCAGCAGCCCGACCAAGCAGGCCAGTGACAGGCCTAGAAAAAATCCAACTGCACAAAAAGCATGGCAGCCACACACAGCAAACAAAATAGAAACTCTACTCCCAGACGCTCCCAACTCATGTTTCGGGCCCTTGGGCCCTCGCCTCGCGGTCGTAGGAGGTTTCGGGCTGGTTTTTTGGTGGGGGGCTTTGGGCTGCAAACAGGCTTCGGATTACCATCGGATAACCGTCGGATAACCGTCGGATGGCCGTCGGATAGCCGTCGGATAACCGTCGGATGGCCGTCGGATAGCCGTCGGATAACCGTCGGATGGCCGTCGGGCCGTCGGATAGCCGTCGGATAACCGTCGGATAATTGGGCCGGGGCCCCCAAAACTGAGGGTCTACGAGGGCCCGGCGTCGGATACCGTCGGATACCGTCGGATAACCGTCGGATAACCGTCGGATAACCGTCGGATAACCGTCGGATAGCCGTCGGATAGCCGTCGGATAACCGTCGGATAGGGGAGGGTGATTCGAGGCCATTTTGGTCGATCAGCGATCCATTGATCCCGTCCGTATTGCACTAGGGGCCCACAAGGCCCCGTATCCGACAAACAGGCGGGTCCTTTCAGGAGCTCCCTAGGAAACCCCATTTCATGCAAAGCAGGAGCCCAACCAAGCAGGCCAGTGACAGGCCCTCCAACTGCGCAAAAAAACGGCATTTGAACTGTTTGAACTCCCCGTGTAAAGAAACATCATTATTGGGACCCGGGATTTTGAATTTTTGAATTGTTTGAACTCTCCAAGTACAGAAACATCACGTTGGGGACCCAGGATTTTGAACTTTTTGAATTCCCCAAGTAAAGAAACATCACTGTGGGGTTTGAACTTTTTGAACTCCCCTAGTAAAGAAACATCACTTTCGGGACCCGGGATTTTGAACTCCCCAAGTAAAGAAACACCCGGCGGAACATCACTTTCGGGACCCGGGATTTGAACTCCCCAAGTAAAGAAACACCCGGCGGAACATCACTTTCGGGACCCGGGATTTGAACTCCCCAAGTAAAGAAACACCCGGCGGAACATCACTTTCGGGACCCGGGATTTTGAACTTTTTGAACTCCCCAATTAAAGACACATCACATCACTTTAGGGGACCCGGGATTTTCAGCGTGTTTGAATTTTGTTGGTCTCGCCAAATCAGGAACTAGGATTTCACAACCCGGGTTTTTAACCTTTTGTCGGTCTTTCAATCTCCCCAGCCCAGGAACTCAGATTCGAGGGGCCCTGGATGTTGACCTAGTTGGTTTCTTCCAAAATTCGCAAGTAAAGAAGCATGAATTGAGCGACCCAACTTGCGTAACTGTCCACCAACCTAAACTAAATGAAACAAGCGGCCCCTCCAAACAACCAACCAACACTAAATGAAACAAGCGGCCCCTCCAAACCACCAACCCAAACTACAGTTAATGGAAAAGCGGCCCCCTCCAAACCACCAAGACAAATTAAATGAAACTAGAACCATCAACCCAAACTAATTGGAAAAAATAACCAACCCAACCAAGCCAGCAACCCAAACTAATGGAAAACACGGCCCCCTCCAAACTACCAACCCAAACCGAATAGAAAAAACGGCCCCTCCACGCAACCAAACGAAACTAAATGAAACAAGCGGCCCCTCCAAACCAGCAACCCAAACTAAATTAAAAAAGCGGCCCCTCCAAACTACCAACCCAAACTAAATGAAACAAACGGCCCCTCCAAACTCCAAACCAGCAACCCAAACTAAATGGAAAAAACAGCCCCCTCCAAACTACCAACCCAAACATAATGTCAAAAACGGCCTCTCCAAACCAGCAAATGGAAAAGCGGACCCCTCCGACCAAACCACCAACGAAAATTAAGTGAAACTGGAACCACCAAGCAAAGTAAATAGAACAAGCGGCGCCTCCACACAAACAACCCAAAAACTAAATGAAACAAGCGGCCCCTCCAAACCAGCAACCCAAACCAAATGAAAACAGCGGCCCCTCCAAACTACCAACCCAAACTAAATGAAACAATTGCCCCCTCCAACCAGCAACCCAAACGAATGCAAAACCGGCCCTCCAAGCCACCAACCCAAACTAGATGGAAAAGCGGGTTAAATGAAACTAGAACCATCAGCCCAAACTAAATGGAAAACGCGGCCCCTCCAAACCTCTTCTTTGCAAAGCCAGGCCTTTTCCGTTATTTTTATTATGCTTGTGGGTTCTCAGACGCGCATTTTTTTGTACCAGGTCCACATTGTATTGCGCCAGGATGATGCCATTGTTCAGGTTATGATTATACATGGCTATGGTTTTTAAGGGGCATGCAAAGCCCGACGCGGCGCGAACCTTGGTACGGAGGTATGTAACGGGGGCTCTTGTAACTCTGTAGCGAGAGAACAGTGCTTGACACTTCCACAATTCCAGCTCGAAAGTTTCATTTGTTGATTCACCCGGCTGCAACGTTTCTTCTGCTGAAGGGCAAGCTCTTTGCAAGTTATTTACATAAATTCTGCTGTTTTAACTGTGTGTTGTTATCTTATTTTCTATTTGTTGTCTTATCTTTTTGTTTGATCTTTTATTATTTGTTATTTTTATCTGTCTTTATCTCTTCCCAGTAAAAGAAACAGTAGATAATTACTAAGTTCAGATTAAGTGTCCGGTATCTAGACTATCTGTTTGCTTTCTCTAATCTGCGCTATGTTGCCACGAGCCTTAGACCCCCCCCCCAACCAGCCCGAGGGCCCGCGAGGGCCCGCGAGGGCCCGAGGGCCCGAAACATGAGTTGGGAGCGTCTGGGCAGTGTAGAAAACTTGTGAAACCGATGACATCACCTGTAGAAACTGGACAACTTCCCATCAAAACCAATCAAACCCCTAAAGACCCAACTCTGGTTGAATCCCGCTAGAAGCCCGTCCAGCTTCAGCCAGATCCCCCCTTAACGGTCAAGCTGTCAAATCCAAAAAAACTTCCCAGAAACCGGAGAAACCAGTCAATTCCCTAGAAATTTGCACCTTCGCTTGGCCCAAGCCCACTGCTGTAGCTCTCTGCGGCTCTCGTTCTGGCCCTTGAAGCCATGTGTGGAAACACGCGGACATGCACCCACCCTCTGCCTTGGACACCAGGTCACGCAACTTCGGCGCCGACTCACTCACTCTAGTAAACACAAGACTTCAAGGCAAACTAAAGCACGTTATATACCTCAAAGCCAGCCAAAAGCGGACTGGCCGAGGCGGGCAACGCGAAGCGTTACAATTCCTCCAGGGTTAACATGGCCGGATCACCTGGACACCCCTTGTTCGAAACCCCCTCATAAGCCACATAAAGCCCTCGCATCCAATTCAAGTTGCCAAACACCAAAGCCCCCACACCATTTCAGGCCCTGGCAAGCTTCATGTGACCTGTGGGAAACAGCGGTACTTGGATGTTCAACCTACATAGTAGCTTATAACCAGGGTTTAAGTGGGACAAGACAACAGGAATTGAACTTATAACTATAGTTACAGCCTAAGCGTCTGTCTTTTTTTGTGGGTACCCGTTTTCTTTTTTTTTTTTTTGGGGGGGGGGGGGATTTTAAAAGAGGACTGCCGTTGCCGCGTTTTTTGTGGTTTTTGCTTGGGGGGGGTTCCCGTTAAAGTCTCTCCTTGCGCCAGAGGGTGTCCATTAACGCCAGGCCAAAGGACTCCGCGGAGAGATCCTGAAGGCGAGCGAAGCGATGGGCGAAGCGCCCACGTGAAGCGGGGCGGAACATCAGCTCTTCTGTTGGTTGACGTTGGAAGGGGAGCAAAAATAATCAACTTTAGCAGTTAAGTGGTTGGATTTCAACCACTAAACCACAATAAGCAAACATGTAAACTACTTCTTACAAACAATTATCTTCAGATGCTCAGATTCATAGCGAGGTCCTCCAGATTTGAGAGGTTAGAGGTTTGGGTGCCCCATTCTTCTTTCTGTAGTCTATTTTAGGAGGGGAACCCTCCCAACCAAAAAGTTGGTAAAAGGGCACTACTGGGGGACCAAAATAGGCAAAGCCATATATTTTCGGGGTTCTCCATAGTCAACCACTATGTCAGGAGGCCTTTCAAAACAGGGGCTTTTGAACATAGATGACTTAAACTGGAAAAGAATCGATGGGTTTCTTATGTAATACAAACCATCCGTGGACCCAATCTATTTCTAACCAAATTAAACGATCAAAAGAACGCCTATGCTCCAATTTAGTCTACCTATTTTCTTTTTACTTTGGAGGAGACCCCAAAATGATACCCGGTAACCCCTCCTCCCAATGGAAACTGAGGTGTGGAAAGACTTTGGGCAGCGGGCAGTGCACCGCCATGATTGACGGAGAGAAGGTACCTCTGGTTTTGAAATGCACAAGTTCTCAGTTTCCCCGATTAACAAAGGGATGTTTGGGTGCCCCTTGCACAAAACACACAAAACCTGTTCCCTGCATTCAAGATTCACAATTTCCAAAAGACTGTAGAATCGATGACATGCGAGAGTGTATAAAACCGTTGAACTCTGGTTTTCGAGGGAGAGCACTTCCGTTGAACAAATCCGAAAAGTGAGCTACTGGTTGCCCACTATTGCAAACAGAGCATGAGTCATCAAGTCGCAAACCAACTTTGCTGGTGAGGCCCCCGATTTCATCTGCCCAAGACATGAGCCCGTGTTTAGTAGGGAGTCGATCTTCACGACTGGGTGACATTTCAATATCCTTAAGGAAACACCCTGGTGCAAAAAGAAAGCCCGACGTCCGAGGAACCAAGAAAAGGCTCTCGAGGGCCCTTTTCGAGGCTCCAATTGCCTTTCTGAAAATGGAACGCTCTGAGCCCCATGAGCCGGAGGTCAATCCGATGCTTGGCCTTGGGACCAGATTTCCCCATAGAGTGCATGTGATGTTTAACCCCTTCCTGCACCCACTAGTACGTAGATGATCTCAATTAAATGATCAACCACCACTCGCTTGGCCAAAGAGTCTTCCGTGAGGCCGGAACCCATCAAGAAAGAAGCAAACATCGAAACTGCGAGGCTTCCAGGCGGCCTTTCTGGTCTTTCGGGCAGTTTTGAGACTTTCCTCAGAGCTGGGCCAAATGGATCCGGCCAAGACGTTGAAAAGGCAACAACAAGCAATCGCTGGCTGACAAGAAAATGAAGGAATCTCAAGGGGAACAATATCAGGCAACTTTCCTCAGATCTGACCCTTGGTATGGTAGCAACAAACATTTGCATTTGAAGTCCTCAACGACATGACAACCGGATTTCAGGGTGTCTGAACAAAATCCAGCGCGCTTCTCCGTCTCCTGGTGGATTCCATTGAGAAGTCCAACAACTTTACCTTGAACCAATGGCAATGGGACACATCCAACATTCTTACCTGCGCAAACCGAAAGCAAGCCAAACCTCGCCATGAACAGTTCAAACTTGGCACAGGGTAAGCCAAGAAACATGTTTCAAGAGTCTGCTGGCCGGCTTTTGTCTACCCTTTAAACAGAACCGTATGGAGGAGTCCCCACATGCGACGCTTTCTCCGCCCGCCTCCAGCCAGAGGTGGAAGAGCTGGCGCGGGAAAGCTCCCGCCTGGTCTGCGACATCGAGGCTTGGGGAACAATGCTCACGTCCTGAGTGGATCGGACCTAGGTCCTCCAGTAGAGGTTAGAATAAGGGCACCCGATTCTTTTTCTTCTGTAGTCTATTTTAGTAGGGGAACCCTCCCCCCAAAAAGGGCAAAAGGGCACTACTGGGGGAGCTAGGGACAGAAAAAGTCTGAGCCTCTTGTTTACCACTAAAACAATTTGTAAGGGGTGTTGCCAAGAATGGGGGGGGAACCCCACAAAAAGATTCCACCATGAAGAGGTTCTAATTGCATTGCTTAAAGGGGTGTTGTCCAGAATGGGGGGGACCCCCCCGCAAATGGTGAGATTCCTTGAGGTGTTACTGTTACTCTGAAGGATGCTGCTTCCATCCATGGGCTGATGCTTTTAGTTCCGAGCTTTCAGTTGGACATCACAGGATCTGGTCATGAAGATTCCTTGCGGGGATCCCATATGGTCCATTGAGCGCCCAAAACGGAATCCTAGCAGCCACACTTTAGTAGACAGTCCTACTGGCTTTATAAGGGTTGGCCGAACCAGGCGTCAAGGAGCTTATCAGCAAATTCGAATCAGGTGATTGCTCGTGCTGCCTTTCGGCTTGTTGTGTCTTCTCGAGTTTTTGTGTTAGACACCTGGTGAAGTTTGTGCTTTACAGGGGTCAGTAGAACTTCCAGTCCATCCTCAGAGCATTGGGCAGAAGCTCTTGCTGAAGCTTTGGCCAAAGTAAATGGTGGCTAGACCACGCGCCGGGGTTCCAAGGCTTGATGCATTCCGTGGGTTGGGTTCGGCAGTTGCTGCATCCGCGGATTCCATGTTTCCTGAACAAGGGAACAATGGGACAGATCAGGGTTTAACTTGTGACCGCCTGATTTCGGCGCTGCTTTGCAGAAAGCTGCCTTAGCATCAAGAAAAACTGAGAGCCAACACCACACAAACCAACAAATCACCGCAACTCGGACATTGAAGGAGCCCCCTCCAACCGAAAAACCGGGGGGGGGGGGGGCAAGCGCGAGGGCTCCGATAACAGTCTCCCGAACGCCTTCCAGGAGGCCCACAGGACCATGGGAGCCTAGGCTGTGGCCAAGCCAAGCACGGGAGCCATGGAGTTGGTTTGTAAAACGCGATGTGGCTGCGTCTGCTTTCTTTCTTGAATGGTAATCGTTATTCTATTTGATCTTTTTGAGGGGGTTCCTTTGTTCTTCTTCTTTCTATTTTTTTTTTTGGGGGGGGGTGTTAAAGGGAAAAAAGAAGAGGAGGCCAAGAGACTTCTGGGAGAAATACTCATGAGTAGCGGACAAAATCCTTTACTCGCATGAGGAAGTTGGATGGTCCATCGGTTTTCAGTGTTTTGAGGTTAAACAGGAGGTACCTTTTTGCGGGTTTCTGAGTTTGCTAACCCCAAGGCGCTCGAATACAGCTGAAGACTGGTGATGATTTGGTCGGATTCTCATGGGTGCGCGTGTAACGTTTATTTTTAATTTTTCTCCGGGTGGTTTTCAATGGAAACCAAAAGGAAACACCCTTGGGGGTGCCCCTCTTCTACAAGAAAAGTAGTCCAGGATTCTTGGCCCACATGCGAGAAACCGTCTTTCATAAATGGCTAAACATTCTCTTCTTTTTTCGAGGCGCAGGGTACCAATTGTGGGGTGGTTTTTCGAAGGAAAACCAAAGGGAGACCGTTGCCATTTTGTGGGTGCCCTATCTGTAGAACCCATTTTCAGATGGTCCGTATTTGGTCTCCAAATAGAACATCATTTTGGAGACCCCGGCCAAGTTCGCGCAACCGCATGTTTGCGAAAACACAAATCGGTGGACTGCACCATTGGTGAATATTCGCAGAGCCACGGTCAATATATTCGTCACCCCGCTTGGCACAAGGGTCCACATTTCGTCCTCGCCAAACGGGGAACACTTAAGGAAGCCAAGTGCCTTTTCATTTGTTGTAAGAGTCTACCCTTTTTAGGGGTTGCCTTTGAAGGGATGCAAACACAAACCACTGATCTTGGGGGTCCGACTTCTATTTTAAGACGCACCCAAACCAAAGTGCCATCGCATGATCCACAGCCTCGAAGCCCTGATTTGATGAGGTTCTGCATGGCATCTCTGCTCTAGTAGTGGTTGATTGCCTTTGACACCGACCGCATGGCTTCGCTTTCACTTCCCTTTCAAGGTTCAACACTTCCAGCAAACACTTCCTCCGACAGAAAACTGTTCGAGCAACTTGAACCACCTCCACTTGGTCCTTGCTTTCCCTCTTAAATTCATAAAAGTCTCCCCAAGTCTTGATTCAACCCAACTGGGCCACAAAAGTGACATGCTCAGATTTACCCTCATTGTGGTTAAAAGTAACCCCAAAGACATTTTGAACGCATCAAAATGCAACTGAAAAAGGAGTATCACCTGGAAACCTAGCTGCTCCATTTTCTGATTCTCTCACGTTTTCTAAATCTGCACGAGGACCTACAAGACTTCTCACTTCCTGAGTGGATTGCCAAAAACAAGTCCGAACTTCTGATATTTGCCGCTAAAGCAGTCAAGCCCAACAAAGGTTCAAGACCAGGACCTCAGGAAGCCCTTCCAGGACCGAATCCCATGGGTTTCCGGCGCTGGGTTCCGCGGCAAAGGACCAAGGATCCCGCGCGACCTCGCGAGTAAGGTGTTGGAAACGCCGGCTAGCACGCATCCGTTTTTTATGAGAAAGCGGTTAAACTCTTGGGTTTTCAAAACAATTCTTTGGAATACTTGCATGAGAGCACTGACCTCAGATTTTTCCGGCGGTTTGTTGGGGAATCCTGATCACAAAGCAAACGGACACTAGCCTCAAAAAGGGGGCCAAGGGACACTTCTCAGCCAGAAACCCTCCAGGTGCTACGTTGGTGGGAGGAAGGGTACGCCACAGAAAATGAGATTTCATTTCCTCTACCCCATGGTTGTCGGACAGCTTCCCGTGTCACAGCTAATTTTCCAGAACCATGTTCTACATAAATTGATTTGGAGAAAGGCCCAATGGCAGCACCAGGCCTTAGCCCAAGGGAGTATATGGAGATTGCCAAACCACTGCCTGTTTAAACTGTTTAAACAATAAAGAAAGGCTTGGCCCTCTTAACTCCCATGAACAGAGAAAGCCCTCTGGAATGCAGCCGCACACAAACACCCTCGAAGCCTTTGCGCTCGAAAACCACCCGCAGAGATGCATCCTTCTCGCAGGTGCACCGCCCCGTTTCTACGTCGTATCAGTGGCTCAGTATGACAACAGCTTCCGTGTAGCTGAAATTATGCAGCTGCCTTGCGAACATCCAACAGGCGTGCTCTCCGGCCTTCGGTGTTACACTTTTTGTGCCGCCGTTGAAACAAAATGCGATCTGTTGGCTCGAAACCCCCGTGTGGAAGAAGGAGAGCGAGCAGCCATGGGGAAAAAGGGGCATCCTCTTTTGGTTGAGTTTGAAGGGGAACCTCCCCCGCAAAAAAGAGAACAGGGCGGAAAAGGCCTGGCAAGTTTTGGACATCAATCCATGACGGGCCCCTTTTGACTGTATCGCCTGGTACTTCGCTTTCCCCATGCCCGTCACTCAGAAGCTTCGCTGAGGGGCGTCTTGGAAGATCCTCTTGTGGTTTCTCCCATTTGTTTTTGGGAGGACAGTTTGAAAGGAAGATCCCATACGGGTTGCCCCCACACCTTTGTCCTCACAGGTAACAGGGATAAATCTGAGCAAATTTGCCATTCCTGACAAGCCCTCTTGAGGGGGGTTTTGAAAATCAGCCCTTGTCCCCTTTTCGAGCAGCACACAGCGGAGGGTAAAGGGGACCATCCTTTCCACGTGACCATTTGGAACGCAAAGTTGTGAACCCTTTCAATTGGTTTGTCATGTTGGAAATGTGTCAATTTGTACTCGGTCCTCCAGATTTGAGAGGTTAGAATAAGGGTACCCGTTTCTTTTTCTTTCTGTCGTCTATTTTACCAGGGGAACCCTATTTTCCCCAAAAACAGTTACGGTACAGGGGCGCCAATTGCTGGGGCAATTGCTGGGGGACCTGGTGTAGGTCAAGAAGCGGGGGCCCCCCACCCTGAGCTACACGCGCCTTGGCCAGAATTGCGTCAAAGACCTTGGCGCAGCAACTTAGGCTATTTGGGTGTGTGGTTTTTCTTGTGGTGTCGCCCCCTTTTTTTGGGCTGTTCAAAGGGACACCACGAGGACACCACCATTTTGTGCCCCAGAGGTTGGACATCGGGGGTCCTAGATGTGGCCTAATCCATTGACTGGGGTTCTACATTGGTACAAAGGGTTTATGTTTGGGCCTTATCACAAACCACATCAGGTAGCAACCAGTACAGTAGAACCACCGACTATAATGGCCACGGGCTTCGAACACACGGGCACTCGAGGTCTGCCTCAAACACGGGCCGGCCAAGTAGCATCTGCAACGCACTTCGACAAGCTTTGCAATGGCTTTAAAGCTCAGCCCCATTCTAACCTGCGCCTGGCCAAACACAATTGGGGTCCTTTATGCGCCAACTGAACTGATAAGACTGGACTGCCTCCGTTGACATTGGACAGGCGCTCAGCACCTCGCTTGTTGAAACATGTGGGTTAGGACGTAGTCCAGGAACTCGGAGTGAGAAATGGGAATCCACTCTTCACTTTTGCACCAAAGCACCAAATTGAGTGGACCTGGCCAACCATGGCACGCTTGAATTTTGGTGGTTGATTTGAAAGGGTCCAGAAACAAAAGGAACCAAGGCGCCCAACCATCCACGCAATCCACACGTGGTCGTATTACGCACTGGGATTTGGTCCTAATATGCATTAATCGAACATTTGCCACAACTTCGCCTGTTTCCAGGGAGGTCTGGTATGAGTTCTGCCAGGCTTCCATCATGTTCCAGGCACTGCAGGTCTGTGGTTGAAGATGCACTTGAATTTTGGTGGTGGATTTTCAAGGGAACCCTCCCTCCAAAAGGAAAAAAGGGTACCCCCCTCCCACCAACATGGCACCTTAGACATGGTCCCTACAAGAGGAAATTGATCTTCCAGGTACCCTCCCACAGGTGCTATGTTAGTGGGAGGGAGGGTGCTAAAGTATTTCCTGGTTTGAGATCTCAGCACCCTCGGGCTGCCGAGCCGAATCCTGGTGAGGCAGCAGTTGCCCGGGCGCCCGTAGGATGTTTGTCGTGTCCTGGCGAACACGAGCCTTGCCACAGGAATTTCCCCACGATACGTAGAAGTCAGAAGCGGAAATCAATGGGACACCACTACCCCATTTAGAGGAAACAACAGGCGATGTTTAAAACCACCAAAACGGGGAACCCTGACCAAGGGGGGCAAAAGATCCCTGGCAGCTCGCGAGACCGATCATTTGCTCATTTGCCGGTGGGTTTGTGGCAAACTTGCTCATCCCGTGCGAGCAAGTCAGAGTTCTAAGTAGCTTGCAGGGAAACAACCCACCAGTTTCTGACTTTGATACAGACTTGCAGAGGTCACTGGAATACAGAGGTCACTGGATTTCCCCTTCAAAAAGTTGATCAATTTACCGGTGTCCATTGAACCTGCCACTTCTCGGAGGTCCAAAAAGGGAAACGGAGCCTGTGATGCCCCGTGACAGTTCTGAGCCCTCACTGCCACGCCTGCACGCTGGACTGTGCCAACTTGCCGGCGGCTTCGTTGGCCGAGGCATCGAAGAAGGCCTCGCATGAGACCCCAAATTGAGAAATCGCACACATGGCTCTCTACATGGCCGTGATCCAACTGTAAGTCACAAACTGAAGGAATCCCCAGCAGATCTGCGGTCTGCGGCAGTGAGCTCCTTCTATTTCTGAGCGGTAAGCTCGTTGCTTTTTGTGTGGGGCCATGGTCGTGCTCCCAATATAAAATAGGACACTCACTAGGGCTATCCAAAACCCGGTTAGGAAACAGGTCTTATCATGGCACTGGGTGGATGGGAGGGAGACCCCCAAACTAGCTGGCTTCCTCTGTTTTAAACCAAAAGGCGATCCCCTCAAAACAACCATCCACAATATGGGTGTGCCTTAAAATAGGAAACCCCAAACATGGTGGTTTGACTTGGGTCCCTTTGAAACCGTCAAACAGGGGGCACCCTAAAAAAAGACACACCCATATAAAAATCTACTCCAAGGAACGTGGAGGTGCAAAAAGCAACTTGTCTCTTGGAACGTTGGTGTTTCGCGTTGGTGCGCTTGCACCATGGTTTCTCCAAATGCGGGACCCCCCTAAAAGGGCTGGTTTCTTTCTGGTTTCCCTTTCAAGCATCCCCAACCAACAATATCCTCAAGGTCACAGTGTTCTTTGCGATGGTTATCCATGTCACCCAATGGGGCTCGGTACTGTGGATGGTGCACTAAGCGCTACTTGGATCCTCCAAGTAATCATAGGATCCCAAATAGTGCCAGACTTTGTCCATCCACAGTGCGGCTGAGAGCCTCCAAATTGTCGAGGCTTTGCTAAAGGGAATCCATTGACCCCTTGAGGCTGGGTGAGCAAAATCCTGCTGAGATGGAAACCCTGGGACAAACCGGACAAACCACCTATCAACTGCAAATGCGGGTACTCCGAAAAGCATATGCTTGGCATATGAGTTCCGGTTCTGTTTCATATTTGTCTATCCTGTGTACTGAGACCCCAAAACTGGGCCTGATTCAGCCTGATTTGCTCAAGACAAGTGACCCGCCAAACTTGTAACGGGTCTCCTTTGGTCTACCCTCAAAATCGGCCAGCCGCCCATTCTCCCCGCAAAACTCTCAAAAACTCTCACTTCCTGAGTGGATGGGCAAAAAAGTTTTTGAACTTTGTATAAACCACCAAGATGGTCCAAGCACAACCAGCTCCAAGTCCAGGGACAAAGCGACCGCAGCGCCCAGCCTCATCGGCCCAGCGCAGCTTGGCAAGGGACCGGGCGCTGTTGGCCGGCTCCTGACGCGCGTGATCGCGTGATGTGCGCTCGTCGGGCCCCTGGGAGATAGGGCTTTTGTGGAGGAAACCAAACCTTTGGGCTTTCCCCTGGTTTCGGCTTCCAAGGAACACCGAAGCCGTTTTGGGGGTCCAAATCCCAATTGCGACACATTATCCCTGATACATGTTCAACATGGATCCCCAAGTTCCGTTCTGCGAGGGGGATTTGTGGAGGAAAAACGTGCGAAGCAAAACCGGGGGAACCAAACACCAGCAGCAAAAAAAAGGGCCCAAATGTTGAAGGAGTCAAAGAAATCCAGAACGCAAATCACCTAAACAAATTTCCCTGGCCATTGACTTGGAGAAATGCACGGAAGTTTACTAGAGGGAATCCTCAAGACAGGTGACACTTCTGGAAAGATTGCAGCGGAAGAAATGAGCTGTGAGGCTAATTTGGGTTTCAACCCAAGGCATGGTCTTGCGATTGGCTTCGGGCGATCCCCGGAGAAAAAACAACAAATAACACCGGCGACGCGGCTCACGGACGCTGCACGAGGGCAGAAGCTCGCGCGCAACCCGGTCGCCTAAGCAGGTCGCTAGTTGATTCATGGGGTTCCTCGTGCTCAATCTGCCTGCCATTTTTCTTGAGGCAGTACCGATGGACCTGAGATGGATAGGACAAACCGCTGCAGCGGATTTTTGTCCAACGCTTCCTTCAACTTGCAAGAACGCTTTTGGCCCAAAGAACAGTTCGCAGGCCGCTGACAGTTGATGTTCCAGGTAAGTCCCTTCCACGAGCTCAGGGGAACACCCGGGTTTAGCTTCTCGTTTTTCAGGGATACGTAACGGGAGCCCTTACAGTGTACAAACCCGCAATGGGGGTCACTGGTAAATCATTCTCGCCACATGTGGCTTTGCGACCATAATCCTAAGGATTCCAAATCATCCTGTACTTCAGGTTGCTGTCACAAGTTTGGGCAGATACTCTAATTCCCATCTCGATAGAATCGCTCTGAGCTCGTTTTGCCCCAAGGATCCCCAAGGTGAGCGACATCATGTGCCAAGAATGATCATTCTAGATCATTGTCACAAGTTGGAGACCCCGGCTCATGCTTCCATTACGGTCATCAAAGTTACTCTCTAGATGGTTGTTTAAGGGGAACCCACCCCCAAAAGCCAAGTTTGAGCGCCCTCAAACTTTTCACTTCTCAGACTTCCCGTGGGGAAAAGCGCACGCAGTCGTTTTAGTTGATATGGTCCGATATGGTTGAGTAAACAACCACATCCAACAGAGTTGAACAAGGGGGTGCCACTCGAGGGACTTCACTGAGAGACACAAGGCTTTAACCAACCCTCGTCTGACGCCTCGACGCCTCGACCGGTTCCCTGCATTCCAAACATCGCCAAACCGGCTTCAACCTTCCGCAGTGGCCAGAACCTGAGGCTCACCCATCAACCTGGGATTCGGAAATAGCATCAGGCTCATAAGAAGAAGCATCTTGCCTCGACCTTCTGGTTGCTCCCATCATAAACTCGTCTCTAACTGGGGGAACCCCTTCCAAAAAGATCACCTTCTTTATGGATCCCCTTTCAAGCAACCACTGCCAACTCCAGACACCAAACCGCAAGCGCCTGGGGCCCAGAGTTCGGCAGCAGCGTGTTGGCCGAAGAGGCCGCTGAGGCCAAAAACGGCGCAGCACCCAACCTCAAGCGCGTCTGGGAGGTGACTTAAACTGGACGGCCTGAAAACCCATGGCTCCAAGACCTTGCTGGGTTTGTCTTAGGGAACCCCAAACAGGTGGGATTCCTTTTGGTTTCCCTTTCAAATCACCCCAAAAGGGAACCACAAAAACCAACCCAAAGGACGTTAGTTTACCTTTGAGCCTTACTATTCACATCGAACCGGGTTCTCAAAGTGGATTTCGGACCCTTCTCGGAAGTTCCCAACATAGCTTCGGTAGTCGTTCTGGTTTCCCTTCAAAAACCAAAAACGTGTACCAACTCACAAAAGACAGAGAATCTTTGGTTGAAGACACTACTACAAAAAGCTATCCTCTAAGTGGTACAGAGAAAGCCCCAGTTTGAGCAACACCCGAGACTTTGGGCGCTTCTCCAGCCGTCTGTCGGGGCCCATGCCCAGGCGTCGCGGAGTCTTGCACCAGGTTGGCCGAGTTCTGTGGATCCGGCGAGCCTCGCACGGGAGGATTGCGATTGATCTGCAGCCTATCGGCGGGGGTTCTGAGAAATGGGATAAAGCTGAGAAAAAAAAAAAAAAACAAAAACATAGAAACCACGCATCTCCTATGGTTTCCTTTATGCATCCCCTTCCGGTTCATTCCCAACACCCGGAATGGTCGTTTCCTGAGCAAGCAAGACAAACGCCCGTACAGCGCCCTTGAAAGAATCAAGGATGCACATCAACACATCAGCACATCCCCGCCCCCCCTCATGCTCCCCGCTGCGTTTCAGGGTTGCCCATGCGCCACGGGTCCAACACGCCATCTTGACATTTGTAAATTTGCCAAGGCAAACTGTAAGCATGACCTGTAAAAGGCTACCCTCAAACAAAAAAACACACACACCCAGCACAGCCCTCATTCCAAGATGCTTGTTCTCGCATGCCCAGCAGCAACTGGGGCGATTGTGGTCAGCCATTGAACAGTGGATAGGGAGGCACAATTTGGGCCTAGACAAAACACCCCAGCTGAAACACGCACAATCAAGGGTCCCCCACTCAAACTCATATCCAGTTTCACCAAATTCACTCAGCCAGTTTTTAGGCTAATGGGGATGTGCCACGCAAACGCATGCCTCCAGAATGGGCATAAGTATTAAAGCTGATCAATGCTGGCGTATGAGGATTTATAGGGGGACCAGTCCCCGGCGAATGAATCCATTGCATCCAATCTGGTTCTTTGGACCTCAAGTCTTGAGCCAAGCTCAGCTCCCTGTAGGGCGCGTCCCGAAGGGGCATTTTGGTTTGGCTCTGATTGGAGGCTTACCCTTTCGAAGTTAAACGGACCTTCAGGAAGGTCCAAGGCCTTGTCGCTTGTTGGCTTGAAGATCCCAGTTCCTGATGGGTTGAAAGCAAGCCACGAGTTTGCTTTGGGGTTCCTGTTTCCTTCGAGTCAGCCAGATCTCGATGGGTACTTCGGGAGTGAACCCATGGGTTTTCGCACTTGTGGCTTGACAAGAGAACCGCCCCCCATGCGCTTCACCTTCTTGAGTGGACCGTCAACTTTGTACCCGGTGAATTAGACGTCCCTCCGAACGTATGGTTTGCTATGAAGGCCATCACGGTCGCAACGAGGCGCCGTTCATCTGCCCAAGCCATCTCTCGGACTCTTTCAGCCAGGGTTGCTGCCATTTGACATCGATCGTAAGGGAGATCCTTGGAAGAAAACAAAAGGATTGCTCAGCTCATAACTTCTGATTCTAGTTTATATATGGTCCCGTGTTCCGTGTTGCTACCCCCCAGGGGGGGGGGTACTTGTCTGACCCAGGGGGTGGGCTGGATATAGTCTACCCTGAAATGCAAAGGAGCTTTGAAGGAGACCGCCGTTATGGTTTGGTCATCCCTTTAGAGCAACCCTGAAACCCCCTAGGGCTCCGCCTGTCTGGCACACGGCAGCCGCAATCTCCCCCATGAGCCTGGCAGAGAAAAGCCGTCCGTTGCGAATCCGGGCTGTCGATTTTCCGATCTGGCAAAAGTGCACTACTTGTGGCTTAAACTCGAAATCCTAACCACTCAACCAACAAATGGCTGGGAAACCACCAAGGCTAATAAGAACCCTGTTTACAGCGATTGACCCTTTGTGAGGTGGGATGTGGCATCGGTACCAAGAAAAATGGACAATGGAACTCACCCCCCAAGGAACCCAGGCTTCTGGACCTCCCATTGCTCGGCCGCGTGGCTCGTTTGCAGGTCCTGGGGCGAGGAATCTTGCTCCAACAAACACCCACCCTCAGCCCCCGTTGGGACCCAAATTTCACCAGGACCTTGAGGGTGGTGTGTTAAATGGACCAAAGATCACGTTTTTCCTTCACCTGAAAGAAACAAGGGAAAGGAAACCTGTTCATATCCTTAGCTCGCACACACATTTGCTCACCCCTGCGCTTCTTTCACTCGCGAGCCGGCCAAGTGTCTAGAATTTCAGCCGTCAGAATGTCGAAGGCCTTCCGCTCACACATTTGATGCTCGAACGGTCCCCTCCTTCCAATCCTGGAAGACTACATTCCTTTTGGTGCGTTCCCATATCCACTTCCATGTTTGTTGGAAAAAGGGTACGTTTAAACAACACCAGATGACCTGTGATAATCTGATCCTTTTCTTGTTCGGGCCTGACATCACACCCAACGATTGTATTTGGAGCAAGGTGTCATATTGCTCGGCGTGAGGTCCACGAAGACGGTTGACCCACGTGAGCCAAGGTCAAAACTACTTGCTTCATCCAGACACCAAGAGGACATGGGAAAATTCGTGAGGCCCCGCTGGTTTCGTGAAAATATTGTGAGTTCCCCCATGTCCCTGCCACACGCACTAGGCTGGCGATTTTGACTGAACCTCATGTGCCAAAAAACCGGATACCAAGCAAGGAACCTTCACCGGGGTCGCAACCCGTGATTGGGTTGAGCTATGTTGCTGTCTGAATGCTTCCCAGTTTGTTCTTAGGAAGTTGGGGGTGGGTTTGACAACTTGACAAAAAGGGAAACCACTACCATCTGGCATGAGAAACCCCAGTCCAACTCAAATGAAACCAACGAACACATGTCTTCGGACAGGGGTCCTAAAACCCCTCGCGACATTACCGAAAAGCAAGTCCAAGAAACCCAAGTGTGACCCGAAACCCACGACCGCGCCTTTCACCCGGAGAGCCGAGCACAGCTGACGCCCGTGCGGTGTTCGACCTGCTGGGGGAAGTTTTGCCGAAGAGGGCTTGATGATAGCCACACCTCTTCTCTCATGACGTAGTTTTGGGATTTTAGAGGCCCCGTTCCAATTAGTTCGCACTCTGCAGATATAATCGGCAACCCAGGAGCGCCCCCCACACAAGAAGATATTCCCGCAAACGTGGACCGTGGGTCGGGGTCAATCGGGACTGGGAATACTCAGATGATAAGTTGGAGGCCTTGTGGGGAATTGCTGTGCTTGGCCCCCCTTTTTGTCGGTACTAGAAGGGAGTCAGAAGGGAAACCAACAATTTCGGTCTTAAGAAGCACCAACACCTATGTGAATCTTAATAATTGACCCGGATCCGCAGGCGCGACAAATTGCTTCAAGGTCTGGCAGCACGTTTTGTCCAGATGTCGGGCGGTCCGGCGGTTGCCTTTTGAGCGTGTCTGCAAGGTAAAGCCCGGGCCCTGGTGGACGGTAGAAACCTGTTGAAGGCAAAACTTGAAAACTCCTAACTCTAAAGACTTGCAATGCGGACTCCGGCGACGGCTCAAGCTGGAGAGACACTGCGTCAGAGACCGGGTCAGGCAAGGCACGAGATTTTGGTGCCTAAAGCCAAGTGCGCACGTCACGCTGCCTCAAGCCAAGAACGAGCTCCCGCCACGCCAGAGCCTGCCGGTTGGCCGGTTGGTGCTGCTTTGCAAATGGAGTCTGCGGTCTGAGCCATGATGCGGCGCTCAAAGTATGCCACTGCCAGGCTGCGGCCTCCGTGCAGGCGTGGACAAGGCGACGATGGACACTGCCTCAAGCCCTGAGGCCTCGGGCTGTGCAGCTGTCAGGGGACTTAAAGTTGATTGAAATCCGTTTTGTCGCGTTTTTAAAGGAACACGGATACAGGAACACGTGATAACCCCCTACCATCTTTGACATGTAGTTTGAAATAAGATGTCTAATAAATTTTTGATTGAAATCCGGTTCAAAAAGGACATGTTATCTTCTGATCTGATTTAAATAGTAATTCTACAATAATTATGCCGTTATTACATCTATTTTAACTCTAATTAACATATTGTCCAGATCCTCCTGGGAAAGGAAATCACAAGTGGTCCCCTAGTTGAAATCCGTTCAAACAAGGAATCCTCACAAACATTCCATTAATCTTCCAGTTGAAGCTAGACATTCCACTGGAATTCCGTCCTTTTTCAATCGATCTCAAATTCTCATTAAACATGAAAAGCACACCTCCTGAATTGCCGTGCTCCAACTGAAAGGAGCCGTCCACTAAGTGGAAAGGATCAGTATTGTTGAAGCAGAGTATTCAGCTGATTGACACCAAAGTGAATGCTGTATTTTTCAAGCAGTTGCTAGATGGGTCAAATCAGGATGGTGAGGAAGCAAACCAGCCAAATGATGTAGAGCGAACTTGACATGCGAGCGTCATTACAATATTACAATTTGCCTTGTAGACACCCAACCTCCCAGGAGGTATACTCTCCAAAAAAAGCAACACGGAAGCAACCTGGGGGTCTGGGACCACGATTTTCGGTGGATGTCACTCAAAAAAGGAAACAACACCAACTGGAGGTCTAGGTTGCTAGGTGCGGGTTGCAACCGAGGGGTGTTACCTTTGGGCCCCCAGCGGGTGCTGTGGATCGAGCTGCCGCAGCCTCCTCGCTGAAGCCCCACGGCTGAAGGAGAACCAAACTCAGCTTCACCCTCAGCTAGTGTCTCAGACACCAGCTACAGGACATTTAACAGGACACCTATGGTTTTGATGGATATTTGGCTGGCTTCCTGAAATGAATCCCGGCTTCCATGATAGCGGTTTGCCTTGGCGGTTTGGACATTTGCCCTCAAGAAGTAGGGTTCAAATCCCCAAATCCCAAAGGGCAACCTGATACTGGTCTGAGGGAATATCGAAGGAACAACTGGATAGAACATCTGACTTTACTTATACATTTCCCATAAAATCCAGGGGCACCTTGAAAACAAAAAGGACGTCCCAAGCTACCAAACGGAAACTAAGCGGTACGCAACCACTCTACAGCCACACAAAGGGATTGTCCCCTGACATGGAATTTTGCTGAAGCCCCGCGAGTTCCTAACGGTATTTTGGTGAGTGTGCCCCATGTCATCCCCTTTGCTACCGTAGATAACGGCAAATATTGACCGTTCAAATACTCTCAATGTACACCAAACACCACTCAAGTGGTAGTGGACCCAAGCGCCAAGAGAGATGTTTTGAGGTCCGACAACATCACCACCAGAACCTCAAAGTGGACCCCAAACTGCGATGGTCATATAGACATCGCAGTTGCCAAAGGGTTGCATTTCGAAATGCAACAGCGGCTGGATTTCCGAGGTTGATCAATTTACCCGTGGTTTCCATTGAACGGATCGCAGGTTCCAAAAAGGGAAACGGCTCGGACAATTTGTGCAAGGTGCTCTCTTCTAATTTGGCCAATGGGTTGCTGCACTCTGCCACTGGATCCTTTTCAACTCGCCCCCGCCGCCCAACAACCCAACACACACAAAAAAACAGCAACAAAACCCACCACTGGGGTTTGGAACAAATGCCAATCTCCCTAGCTCAGGACAATCCAGACATGGGTGGCTGGGTTTTTCGAGGCTACCCCATGTTTTGGTTTTGAAAGGGAAGGCAAGGAAGACCGTTGCTCGCGCCAGTTCGGGGCTCCGAGACCGATTCCAGGCTTCGGCGGTCAGTCCTGGAGGCACACGCAGAGAGTGTCTCCAGCATTGGCACCTGCGCCGCCACTTCCCATTGTCTTGAGGTGAAGGGCATCCATTCTCTGGGTTTTAAGGGGAAACAGCCACAGCGCAACCCGCTCTTCAGCCATTTCGACAAGAGTAATTACAGGCAAGTTCCCATGAGTCGACACGCCTTTTTGGGCGGCGCAAAAGCCGAGGCGTCGCCTCTTTTGCCATCAGCACCGTCAAGCACCGCGCGAGGATGGACACGTCTTGGGGCGTCGGCTCTGCACTCCTGCGATGCGATCCGAGTTTTTCCCCCATACACCCCGCACATGGGTGTGTCTCAAAAAAGGGGGGGTGACCCTTCTTTGGATCGCCCACATGGGAAAACGGGTGGGGGCAATCTTTGGTTGAGATTTCTGGGTGCAATTTGGAGTGTTGGCCCTGGCTTCACAGAAACCAATCGACGACTTTTTTCCGCCGCTTTGAGGAGCCCCCCCCCCCAACTCTGGCACATGTTTTCATTGTACTATACACTGTTAAACCCAAGAGCCCTGAAAAGTGAGGTTGTGGGGTTTATCTCAAGGGACCCCTGTCGGAGGTTAGCTTTCAGATTCTTGGAAGAGTTCTGGATCCTAAAAGCAAGCTGGGTCATTTTGAGTGTGCCCCACAAAGTGGAACCCTTCACCGAGGAAAAACAAGCACCTAAATATCCACCGCCCCACTTTTCGTGGGATTCCGTTCCAACGCGACCGCTCTGATGGACCTGGCAGGGCCTGCCCCAAAACCCGGTTGCTCTGTCGGCCTTGGGTTAGAACGTTGTCTGACGGGAAACCACAGGAAGCCGAAATCGGGCCGATAATCATTTAGGCAACCCTGTTCATCAACCACTTCAGCAGATCAAATTAAAACTTTGATTCTCGTGGGTTTTGACCAACTTCTTTAGAACAGCTGGTTTCAATCAGAGGTCGACATGTGGGTATGGTATGTGTCACTATAGGGGACCCCACGATTGTCTTTTGCTTTTGTCTTCCCTTCTGTCGACATAATCATGAAGGTTAGTCTTGATATTGGGGAACACAAGTTCTTCGACTTGCGTTTTGGTTTGCCCGAACCAAAACGGGTTCCAACTAAACAACACACACACACACACATCTAGAACCAATCTAAACCAGTGCCATCTATTCACCAAACCAACCTAAGGACACCTACTTCTATTTCCTCAAGCGCCCCGGGAAAAACCAACAACAACAACAACAACAAACAAACAAACAATTCCAGCAGTGAATTATTCCATTTGAAACCAACAGGGGAAAATATAACATATTCTCGAGCAAATGGACGCCTACAAAACTTGTGCGCTTCCGGCAAAATCCGCACAGCTTCTTCCGGCCGACGGATCGGTCGCGGTCGCCTCCGCTTCGTCTCTGCCGCGGCAGCCTCCGCCGAAGCCGCGCCGCAGGCGGACGACGTGGCGGGCGCCCGCAGGGTGTTGGAGAGCGCCTAGAGTCGTTCCAGTGCGAAGCGTATGGCTCAAAGCGAGCCAAACCCAGAGACATTCAGATGCTTCTTGTTTGTTGCTTTGCTGGCCTGGGCAGATTTGCATCCGTTTAATGAAGAACACACCACCATACTGGTGAGAAAAGCAACTTTGTGCTTTTTTGCCATGGCAGATGTCCAAATGAATCACACACCACCAAACTGTTAAGAATATCAGTTTTAAGTCCTTGCCGTGACAGATTTGCATCCTTCTAATGAACCTGCTTTTGTTTATGCGACCACGGTTCAAACCACCTTCGACCAAGCATTTTGGAGGTCAACACCTTCTTCAAGGCCGTTAAGACAATGCCCCGCTTAGAAACCAAAAGCAACTTGGTTTAAACAACCCGCTTTTATTCTTACATGCAAGTGCCTTTAAACATATCTTGGCACCGGGGGGAACTTGATCGATGGTTCAACTAACTGGTGATCACTCTACCAAGACTCCTAGGGTTGTCAAGGGCCCCCCAAGAGGGGCATTTAAAGCTTGAGAATAGGTCGAACACAACGCATCCCCGATTCCTCTAATTCGCTCTACCTGACAAACCGGTTCAACTCCCGCCCCCAATCCCAGGACCTGATAGCGACTCATGGGGTCTATGAAGGGCAAATAGGGCTCCTTTTGGGTCCCATTTCCACAATTCGCCTCGTTGCGGGGTCCGGACAACCAGATTGACCAGATGAAAGACGGGTCACATGAAGACGGGTCGGGTCATTCCAATGGTTCTACTTTACCATATTTCTTATTAAACAAAAAAAAAAAACAACGCCGAGGACATCGCAGAATGTGGCAACCTCTGCTGTTTTCTTTGCCACATCCGCACATTTTAGAATTCCACCTGACTTATTTTTTAATCTCCCAGCGGCCCGCACGTCGGTGGAATCGCACGCAGGAAATAAAAGCATCTCAGCCAGGGTTCCACTTGGGTTGACGTTGGGTTAGCCCCTGGTTCTTGTAAAGGGTAAACGGGAAACTGCCCTTTGCCACCAAACCCCCGGGGCCCCAAACCAATTATTTGACTTCCATACAAATAGGCTGCAACCCAGGCGGAGAATGAACCACTCCTGGGTTTCTGCCTCTACCCTGGGGTAGTCAAAAAGTAGAACTCTGATCTCGTCTGGCTTCCCCGCCTGAGTATCTCCGGAGACCAGCTTCACAGCTGCCTCGCACTCAAAAGTCAGAGGCCCCGATCCAGTCATGTGGATGGACACCAAATCCCTGCCGATCGGAACCCCAATTAGGTGGGTTTTGCCATCCGTGGGGTTTCCTCCATCTCAGCTGGTGCGACATGGCTCTGCGCGAATCAGCTCACGAGTTGAGTCGGACTCGACTGGAGAAAGGGGATCTCACTCCAGTTCACCAAATGGAGTCAGCAATCAGGTCGCGGACCTTCCTGGGCTCTGAATTGGCGCAAGCTGGGACGTGAACAGAGGGCCAGGGAAAAAACAGGAGCGACATGTATGGTTGCTTCCTTCATTTCTGATGACGTCTCTTCGTTGGTTGTGCTAAAGGGAAACCAAGGGACATCTTTTACGGGAGGTTGTGGTGAGCACCCAAGTTGGTCAACCTTGTGGTATAAACAGAAAGTACCCGAAACCAAAACGCTACGTTGGGGATTCCACTCCCAGTATCTTCACGCAACACTGTACTTTGCCAACCTGATTTCGGAACTTTCAGTGACCTGCATCATGCCTGAGCTCATTTTATCCACGACTGGTGACCTCCTTGTACGATAATTGTTTCAGAGGTTCAATGATCCCTTGTTAAATTCTGGTGTAATTTGTCAAACAACCAGGCCAAACTACCTTCGCTCTCGCCCAACCACTGATCGCTTCCGGTCTATTTTAGCGAACCTTGCAATGTAAAATCATCACACAACTGGGCTGTTCTCAAATCCCCTGCTAAAAACATAACTTTTTTAGTGGGTTAAATGGAAGCCCACGAAACCCTACAACGAGAAGAAGGATCCCAGTAAAAGTCTATGGCCAGAAAGTGAGACAATGGGACACAGGCTCCATTTTTGACTAAACAGGTGTTTCCCCCTTCGGGCAATTAACCACTGGTTGAAAGTCTAAGGGAACCCGGGATGAATACCCCTGCCTATTTTTTTGGGGGCACCCTCGGACCCCCCCCCTCCAAAAGTGATGAATCCCCACTGAACGCGGGCGCCCCTCTAATTACTAATCAACCAGGGGCCAAAAGTCATGAATCCCCACTGAAACTAATCAACCAGGGGGTAGTCCATGGAACTTTGATGGGGACCGACCGCCAAACCCCGCCTCTGACGCAGTTGCCGAGAGCAAGGGCTGGTGCTGCGCAGCCAGGGCTGCAGGCCTTTCGCTCCCGGGGCAAAAAAAAGAGCTCCGAGTTGGCATCCGGAAATAGAGGTTTGAAACAGGGGCTATTCATAGTGGAGCCTCGGTTTAACAGGGGTTTAACAAATGGCTTTGCTGGAGATTTAAAGAGGTTCAGCAGGGATCGAATGGGTTTGAGGGTTCCTTCCAGGATTCCATTTTGACCTCCTGCGATCTTTAGCGTCAACATTGTTTTTCGAGATCCATCATTGCCAAATGTTACCACCCGACTTCAAGACAAGATGGTCAAACACATTTGCGAAAGGTGAGCCCGTTATTGCCCTCTGACCCACCTGTCCGGGCCTCATGTGGGTGTCTCTCTTCCCATTCTTTGGTGGCTTTAAAGGGCAACCAAAAGGAACAGCGTTGGGCGATTTCGGGTACCCTGAAAAACACAGCCGGATTTGGGTGTGGGTTTTGTTGAGGGAAACCACTCGTCTTCGGATGGCTTTGCCGGGCCCAAATCTGAAAATTACTCGCTCCGATTGCTTTCGGCACGCCTCCAGGCGCTATTGGAGAGGTCCCGGGCGCAGTGCTCGCCCAACTTTGCCAATGCCTAGGAGCAAACCTCACCCAACCCCGAAATGGGCGTATCTTTCTTTGAGGGCACCCTTGTTTTGGTGGGTTTGGAGGAAAAGACCAAAGCAACACCAAATTTCCAAAACGACGGGGGGGGGGCCGATTCGGGGGGGGGCGGGCCGATTTGGGTGTGGTTTGTATTGGTGCGACATGGACCTTAGGAAGCCAACCGCCTCCAAACGATCTGTTAAGTTTTTGTTCGACAGCTCTCAAAGCAAAGCACATTAGTTGATTCTCCGTATTTGACTTCAGGTACCGCCAGCGGCGACTACTTCAGGCTACTTCAGGCGCAGCTAAGTGCTGCCTGTGCATTGAACCCAATTTCGGCCCTTAGGCAAATGGTCCGAGATGCCGAAGCCCACCTTCTGTACTCAGAAACTTGCCTTCTGACTTTCGGAAAAAGCAACTCCGCCTGGGAACAAACACATACGTTGAGACTCCGGCCCCAAAACCCCAACCACGACGAAACCCAGTTGCCCTACATGGCAAACCATGGTTAGTTCGCCTTTTGGGACATTCTCCAAACATGGAAAAAACCAAACCGTTTTGGAAGAATCGAAAAACCCTGTGACCTTGAGACCCCAAGCTCACCTCTGGACACGAGCGTGTCTTTTTTTGAATGTATCCCCCTTCTTGGTTCGTTTTAATGGGACACCAAAAGGGACACCACCATTTTGTGGGTCCAACCTTTAAACAGACACGCCCCAATCTTTTAACTAGGCAATGGTGCTTCCCCAAATTTTCTCCTGGTTTGGCAGTGGGGTTCCCTTGCAAAAGACCAGCCACCCACATAGGCCCCCCTTCTAAAATGGACCCTTAACTTTTCCCACTTGAGTGTACAAGGGGTATGTAAGGGGACGAATTTGCCCCTTTTTACCTACCGCAAGAACCCGAAGAAGTACAAGGGACATGGTTTTGTTTGAGAGTCCCCTCATTCTTTAGGCACTAGTAGGCTACTTTCTTGTCCAATATTAAACGTTGGAAGGAGAGCAAACATATAAATTTTAGCAGTTAAGTAGGGTTTTCAACCACTCAACCACAATATGTTTCCCAACAACAACCATGTAAGGGCCCGCTAGATTTCGCCCAGGGCAAAAGTCGCCCGCCGGGCCGCCGCGTCGGCGGCTGCGCCCACCAGCGCCGAGCCCACGAGCAACAGCCGGCCTCCGAGCGGCTTCGAAGGTGCGAGCCACGGATCATGCCTCTTCAGTGACTAAAGACTCGAAGTAGCCGGGTCGGTCCGACAGCTGACTCGTGCTTCCAGGCCGGCGACTTTAGATACCGGGGGTCTGTTGCGGTGGATAAACCTACTGCACTAGGTCCTCCAGTAGAGAGGTTAGAATACGGGTACTTTTTTTTTCGTTTTTTTTTTTCTTCCTTTTTTTTTTCTCCTAATTCTCGGTCGTCTATTTTAGTAGGGGAACCCTCCCCCAAAAAAAAGGGCAAAAGGGCACTACTGGGGGGGGGACCTAGGTGAGTTTTGACCCTCCCACCCGTTTCACATGAAACCTGACCTTCGGGACCCGGTTCCTTCAAAAGACACCGTGACCACTTATTTTCGGGGACATTTTTCTAAAGAAAACAAATACTGAGACTGGATTTCGCAATTGAATTTCTATGAAACCTGACATCATCCGAGGGCCACCAACTTTTGTGGTTCCCGAAGGATGTCCTTCCGACTTCCAAGGCCTGAAACTGCTTGACCTCCATTTTTAGCCCGGAAAAGCTCAAGTCTCAAGGGAAGCAACTACGTGTCTGTCCCCGGAGGCCTTCGTGCACCAACCATTCCCTTGATCTGGGGGTAACTCAAAATATGGGGTATCTTATATACACACATGGATGCGAATTTTGAGTGGGGACACTTCGGCGGACACCATTTATGGGGATTTACGTCCACCTATCATGTTGGGAGGGGGTGCCCTTTCAACATTCATAGACATATGGTTTAGGCGCATACAGGGGTTCAGGAGTATTTCCAAGCGGGGGTGCCTCAAATGACCCCCGGCCGCTCTCCCATCTCTAAGCCGGTATGGGACGTTGGGACCATATCGAAGGAGAGCTTTGTTGATTCACCGCTGGCACTGTCAAATACACTGGGGAACGGGGAAACGCCTGTCCTACTCTCCCACATGGACCTACTTGCAAGTTAAGTGGCACATTAAGAATTGACAGAATGCCAAGACCACATTGTGGGATCAAATAACATGCGACCAGAAAGCAGTCCCGTCTATGAAAACAAACACGATTTTGCCATTCTCTGGGGGCTACATGTGCACGTCAATCTGCAGACTGTGTCGCAAAGGAGCCGATGCTGAGATAAGCTAACCCGAAAGCGGGCCTAGAGTTTACTCCTCCAAACCAAACCCCCAGGAGAACATTGGGTAAGCACCACCGCCAAGTTAACAGACATGGGCGTGTCCCTTTTTGAGGGACCCGCCCTTTCAAATAGCTGGTTTGCTGTTTCCCTTTCAAGCCAACCAAAAAGGGGTACCCTCAAGAAATGACACAGCCATATTGCATCACCACACATGACACACCTAGACACCGCACGCAATGAAACCGCATCTGGAGTCTGCGAGCCAGGCCGGTCGCCCAAATGCTGTTCACCAACTCCTGCGATCGGCTTGGTTTTCTGCATCTGGGCTATCATGAAACTGGGCTGTCCGTTTTCAGATCCCCCGCTAAAAGTGAATAACCTTTAGTGGGTTAAATGGAAATCCCCACTAAACACTAAGAGGCTAAAAGCTACGGGGGTGGATAGGAGCCACCAAGGAAAATGAGGGGTCCTTGTGAAGCCTTGAGGTCGCAAGCAGAAAGCCTTGCGTCGCTACAACTTGCCCGGAATCGCCCAAAAAAAAGCCCTTAGAGAGAGGCCGAAGAGGAATACTCAAGTCGCCGGCAGTGAACTTTCAGCGGCGCCGTCATTCTAAGTTTGAGGATACGATCCGAATTCCACCCTTGGGACTTCAAAAAAAGCCTTCCAGGTGCCCGAATCTTCCAGTCCCATAGACTGAACAAGAAAAATGCGGAAGGGACGGTGGAAAGTCCCGTGGGCCAAGGCTCCCGTTGCCTAAAACGGGTGGATTCCATGGCAACGTGGACAGGGTAACTCCAAGTGACAGGGTTGCATGCGACCAGGAAGAAACTCATCCGAAACTTAGGGAAAGGGCAAACATCAAGCCATCTTAGTCAAAATACTGTCCAGCATCTGCAAAGAAACATCACAATCAGCAATCCTTTCCTGTAAAAACATGCTCCTGTAGCCTCTCGGAGATTTTGACGACACATTTCGCTTGCTGCGGCACGAGCTGCAAGCGCAGTCTTTTACCACAAGGGTAAGCGCCAAAAAGACACGTTGGAACAGCCGCCTCCCAAGCTGTCGTCAGTTTGGCAATTCGCCCCAACTTGATGTTGTACATGAGGGGGTCAGTCATTTCAGGCAATCCCTGTAGTCCACGGGGGTACCGATTGAGTTGATCGCCGTGTAGCTCAACCCGTCTCGTCCACGAGGAGCGAATGAAACGCCAACGGGTGACAGCGCCCCGGAGTTGCGTAGGAGCGGCTCTCACGGCCTTCCTAATGACGATCCTTGGTGAACCCGAAGAAAAAAGCATGGTCGCAGTTGACCCCTCTACAAGAAAGCTCAACACTTTTTGTGAGCCCAACGGAACATCCACTTCCCAAACAAAGTCACGATCCAACCACCTAGCCGTAAGAATCGGTGATTGCCGAAAAGTTCTGGGGTGACTTCGCTTTTTTTTTCTTTATGGGTAGTTTCCTCCACGCACCCAAAGAACAGGTGCTTTGACCCTGGCTCACAGGCCGCTTTACTCCGAAGCGGCCTGTTACAGACCGCGACGGGTTTCAGAGGTGATGTTGGGCCCGGCGGCGTGTACTCCTACTTAACGATCTACGGGTGGCTCGTCTACCGTAGTTGGTACCCGTTTTGGGGTTGGTTGAAAGGGAAAACACAAGGACAACTCCAAGCCACTTTGGGGGTCCAGGACAAAAAGACACACCCCTATCATGTTTCCATCAGGGTTGTAGCTACTGGCAGAAACATAACAGGGCGGATATCCGCAGCTATTTTTTTGCGACTGTCCCTACTGACCTTGATCTGCTCAGGTTTGATTGCTCATTTGCCACGTCCTGTGTCGGCCATCGGTGTATCCGCCTCATTGCCTCCCGTGATATAGCGGTCAAAAGCCTCGGTGGGAAAGACCACTGCCCAACTCCGGAAGTGACTGGCGCCAGCGAATGTTTTGCCTTCCACTGACCAATGGACAGAAGATCACAACAATAAGGAAATTCCAGGGGTCACCCCTCTCGCCGATTTCCATTTTACGGGGTGGGGATGACAGAAGACTTTGGAGAGGTCAAGCATTGATGAACCATCTGCCAACTCCTTGGTGCCACAGAAGTGCCGCCAACCCCCCCCCCCCCCGCCAATTTCCGACCGCCTTTCGCCGGTTCATCTCCGAATGGGTGGAATCGCTCGCTACCGAAATCCGAGGGGCCCCTCTGAGTCGTGTGAGCCGACTGGAAATATCTAATTCTTGGTTGACGCTGGAAGGGAGCATTTCTTTGCCTTTTCGCAGTTCAGTGGTTGGATTTCAACCACTAAACCACATTAAGCAAAAATGTAAAATGTTTCCCAACAACAACCATCTGATGGGGAAACACAAGAACCACCACAACCCATGTGAGATAAGAATCTTCCGGAGTCTTTAAGACTTCAACACCAAAAGCATCGACAGCATATGGTGACTCCACACAACTCCTTTGCACGCTTGAGTGAATTTGGACAAGTGCCAAGGTTTGGCCAAGGGTTCAAATTCAAGTGACTAAAGTTCAAGACCTCAATTGTAGGCCGATCCACCAGCTTCTTCTTTGAGTTCCCTACACCTCTTTTGGCCAACCGACCTATATTCCAATGGAACTTGGTGGGGGCTTCCCCTAAATGACAGCTTTCGTCTCCCAAGCCCTTCCAGTTCCATAAGGGTGTCATTTTTCTTCGGGGGGGGACCCCCCAAAAATAAGTAAATAAAAGAAACAAACCAACAAAAACACAAACACTGGCTTCGGTTTTCCTTTGGGTTTCCTTTCAGTCACACACCAGCAACAGCTGTTTTAGGGGCCTCATTCCCTACTGTAGATCAAGTGTCTCCACAAGTTGGTCCAACATCAGAAAATCGCTCATTCTGTGACACTCTTCTTCCACTCAAGCTCACATTTTCCGGGGTACCAAAAAAACGCCAAGCCCTTAAACATCGACATCGCCCTTTTGGTCTCTCTCTCTCTACACCTGGCTGAGCTCGCTGACGGCAGCTGTACCAGCCGCACTGCGGCCTCGGATCAAAGGTTCGGGCGGACCTTTTTCCGGCGTCGGTGCCGATTTTTTTTTGGGGGGTCGAAAACCTTTTTTTTGGCGAAGCCGTGCCCATGTTTTTTGGGGGGGGAGGGGGAGGGGGGAAGGGGGGGAGTTGGGCGTTGTGAGTTGGACATCAAGAGGGAAAACCGGTGGGCCTTCTTGGAAGGTCACCCTAAAGACCCCACATGGTGAAACCAGGGGTTAAACCCAGCTCCGATTTTTTCGTCGCTTTTCGTCCGGCGGTTTGGGCTTTTCCGTCTCGTCGCCACGGGTTGGACGTGGGATTGAGGCAACTCGGATGAGCCGCAAGTCCCCCCGGGCTTGGTTGACGTTGGAAGGGGAACAACAATTTAATTTTTTGCAGCTCAGTGGTTGGATTTCAACCACTCAACCACAATAAGCAAAAATGTAAAATGTTTCCCAACCACAACCTGGCCCCCCCCCCCCCCACTGGGATCCTTGTGCTGGGCTCACCGATGGTCCGGAAAATCCTTGTGTTGACCTCATGGCCTTGGGATTCAACAGGCAAACGACGCGGGGCTGGAAAAATGGATATGATCTTCTCCAGATTTTGTTCTTGTTGTGGTATGCAAGCGTCATGGCCATGTCCAAGCTCCAAATTTTGACCCATACCCACTAGTTCCAGTAGGTTAGAATCAGGGTACCAACTTTTTGCTGTAGTCTATTTTAGCAGGGGAACCTACAACCCCAACCATAAAAAGCGACGGTCAAAGTCGGCACCTGGCTGGGGAAACGGACCTCGCCCATCCTTCAGCCCAAGGCGCAAAGGCCCAGCAGCTGTTGGCCAGGCCCTGCGGCCCCAAGCGCCTCACTTGCTGCAGCGCCTGGCGATGCAGCCGACGGCGGACTGGACGAAAAACCGGGTTGCATGGAACAGATGTTGAGACTGCGGGCTGCAAGGGGGTCCAAGGCTGACTGGGCAAAAAGCGGGTTGCATGGAATCATCCAGTGTGATGTAATTTGTGATTTCAGGTGATCTGAAGATGTTGTCGGCAATCAAACTGGCGGCTTTGTCCAATGGGGCTACGGAGCGTTGACCAAACCCCTGCCTTAAAGCCGGGAATGCGCGCACAAATCCTTCAGGCCTTGCTTGGTAGCACGAAACACTGAAACCGGACACGGCAGCACTGGTGGGCACAGGAAAGCCCAAACGGGGTTTTATCAATCTTGCTGGTGCTGAATAGGGAATGACCCGGGATTTTGGGAATGAAGCGGAAGGGGATTCTCCTGAAAGAAAGCCATAGGAAATGATTCATAGGGGTCATTCCTTCATTCCCCGCTCAGAACCAGCAAGCAAAAACCTTCGCCTCCGGGCTTGCATCCCCCCAATTCAGGATTCCTTCAATATGGGTATGGGTCAAAATTAAGCCACCAAACCGCAGGCTTCCGCCCTTGTTTCCACTGGGTTCAATTTTTGGGGTTCCCCTCCGACAAAAACAAACCCAGTTCAGTATGGCTCCCTTTACCCAAGGCCCAAACGAGTTTGATATAAGGCAAACCCGTGCTCTTGCACCTCAAGACCGAAGAAACGCAGTGCTTCCGTGACCAAGCGAATCTTGCTTTATTGCGAGAGCAAGTCTTCGATTGTGATATTACATAATTGGCAGCAGAGATCCATGTGGCCATGGGTCAAAAGCCCGTACCCCCAGTGAACAGCCCAATCCCCACTAGAATAGACTAAAATGGGTGGTGCACCTACCCCAAATGGTACCATTGGTTTTGACCCACAGCCATCTCTGTCCGCAAATGGTCCACAAGAAAGGTCATTGACTTAGAACCCCTCCTCGCTTGAGCACAACTGCGGGAACTGTATGCTGCGCAATCTCGCAGGGCGAAGGAAACGGGAAGACGCTCCTGCAACAAACACGGTGCTCGAGCTGTCAAGTTGGTGCTTCGGGTCAACCCGTTCGAAGGACTTGTTTTTCTTTTCTTTTTTTTGGTCCGGGTTAAAAGTCGGTCCGGTTAAGAAGAAAGATCAACTACAAAGGGAGCCAACATGAGCCAACCCCCCTAGAAGACATCCACCTCCAGTCGTCTGTGAAAATGAGACCCCACTTGCCAGGCTGGCCGGGCGTTTTATGGAGAAGATAACCGCTGGAGTACATGGGTGCGAAGCGGATTGTCCATTCACAGCACATGGGTGACCTAAACTGGAAAAATCAATGGGGTTTCCTGCTAGACGGTGAAGTGTTGCCCGAACGGATTTCGCAACCATCCACAGCTGAGCAGTTGTTCCTTTTCCTTTTTTCAACAGAGGGGAAGCTGCATGTCTAACCAAACCGATGAAAAGGACATGACTACTCTTGCCTGCTATTGGGCTTGATCTTTAGACTTTAACTTTTTGAGAAATCAATGGGGTTTTCCACTAACCCCCCAAAAAGTTAATTTTTGCAGGAGGGTCACCCGCAACCAAGTACTTACTCCGCCTGCTGGGCCAGGCGATCGAAGAGCTGCGGCTCTGCGCGCGCCAGCACTGCGGAGGCCCGCGCGCCGTTGGCGGCGTTCTGCGCGCTGGTGCCCTTCTGCTGGCGCCGGGGGGGGGGGGGCTTTGTGGGGAGAGGTCTATGGCATCATCCCATTAAAAAGCTGCCTGGGTTTTCACAAGATGGGTATGCCTCAAATGTGGCTTCAACTACAGATGATCCGACTCCCTTAAAAAAGGGGGGTTGTTTGGAGCTCGGGTTTTTGGTGCTCCGGGAGGCTGCCCATCCTCAAAAACCAGCACATTTTGAGACACAAATCCATTCGGGCGTGCCGATTCGAACCGGGCGACGACGTCCTCTGCTTCATCATTACCGACAATTGTGCCGTCTACTTTCCCCTTGGTCCAAGTGCTTCCAAGAGGTTTGTTCTATTTCGGGGAGACCATACTGAGTGTTTGGGGGAAAGGATGTCCCTCCAAACATGGAAGTGCAGGAGTTGTTTGTTGGACAAGAAGTTTTCCTCTTGGAAATGCCTGTGCACTTCCATGTTTGCTGGTGGGAGGGTAGGACCGAATGGTCCTCTTGGCCCTTTCGGAGGGCGGCAGTGATGTTTGGAAACTCAGACCTGTCTTCACACCCCAAACACGAGAACCTGGGCCCATTTTGCACTCAGGGAACCCTCTTTTGGGGTGTTTTGTTTAGTGAAAAAAACAACACAACATCCGGGTTCCAAAAACTTCGGGACGCCACACACGCGCCTTTTTTTTTTTGAGTTGGTACTCCTATCCCCCGTTGGCAGCGGAACTGTTCAGGCTGGGGCCTCTCCTAAGAGACGGGAGATCTTTCTGCGCGTTGCAAGTTGCTCTTTTCTCACCCAGCGGCCATGGGCAAAAAAGGGGCACGGTGATTTTTGGCTGCTTGAGTTTAAAGGGGAGCCCTTTCAAAGAAGGAAAGCAAGGCGTCACCGGGCATGGTTTTTGATTTTTTCCATGTCAAATGGAATTCATTAAACTTCGGGGGTTTCATGCCCGTCAAAATGGGGGCTGGGTTTCGTTGAGTTTCATGTCACAATGGCGGCTTTCCGGTGGATTTTCCCCAACCTGAAAAGCCCTCAAAGACACAGAAACCCCAAGGCCATACTGTGGATGGACGAACTCCTGCACTGGAGGAATAAACCACGGGAGGAATCGAATCATTCCAGATCTTAGGTGGTGAAGGATTTCGCCCATCCACAGAATGGGGGTGTCTATTTTTGAGTTACCCCTTTAAAAAGAAACAATATGCGAAGGGACACCGTTGCGCCATCTTGGGGGGTCCCCCCAAAAAAACACACACACACACACACACACACATACACACACACACACCACCATATTTGGGGGGTCCAACCCAAACAAAGATGCGCCACCCCAAATCCGATCTTTGGGGTGCTGCCAGTTTTGTGCCCCAAAAAGCCCCTCACGCCCCCATCCGCCTCATCCGCCTGGACTTTGGCGCCGGGCGCTTGCAGCGCCGACGCGTTTTTGGGCGCCGACGTGGCGAAGCCTCGCACTGCGTTGGCCAAGTGCCGCGGGGAGACCTGGCGATGGGAGACCGAGGAGACCTGTGTCACAATCAAAACCCGGGTTGCTTCAAGAATGAAGAAGGCGGCCGCAACTATTTCTGGCTGGGACTGCCCCTTCCTAACCTTCATGTATCCGGGTTTTGATTGTGGCTCACCTGGCAATGGGGAGACCTTAGAGGCCTGCGTGTGGTGTTTCTTCTTTTCTCCATAGACATGGTTTGGAGTTGCTGTTGATCTGCAAGTTCTACAATTCAAACACCTGGAAATCAGACTTGGATACCCCAAAAGAACTTACATCCTGGTGAGCTCGCTCGCCTTGCCCCCAGGTGGGCTCGCTTGAAGCAGACCTCTTGCCATTTTTTTCCCGGGGAACAAACCGGCCATGGGGCTTCCCAACGGGACCAGGTCGTCTTGCGCAAGCATTCAGCGAGCTATCAGGAAACTCCATTTTTGAGCCATGAAGCAGGGCTTCGACCCCTTGATTTGATGCTTTCCAAGGCTACGCTTCTTCCTTGGTTGAGGTTGGAAGGGGAGCAACAGTTTAAGTTTTAGCAGTTTGTGGGGGTTTCCCACTAAACCACAATAAGCACAAATGTAAAATGTTTCCCAACAACAACCATGCTCCTGGTTCCTAAGGGAAACTTCCACAAGACATCTGTACCCACGTGCCGACTTTTACGAGCTGGTTTCCTTTGGTTCCCCTGGCCACCACATTTCACTCGCCACGAGACGCCTAAAGCAGCAAAGCAGCAAAGCATGGTCTTTCCACATCCAGTTTCAGTTGTCTTTGCAATCGGTCTTCCATTTTTAGGGACCAACATGGCCCAGAGGACAAACTCGGTATCCCTATGGATACCCTAAACGCCTAGACTGTGTCGTCTTTCAGAGGTGAAATCGAATCTCTTTGGCACCAGGGGAACATAACACTTAAGGGTCAGTAGCTTGGTTCCTATTTGGATTCAGTTCGCTCCTGAAAAGGGGTAAGCCCCAGAGCCGGCCATTCTGGAAGTCGCCCAGTGAAAAACGGTAAGCACTCCAGGAACTCGCGCCCAACGCCGAGACTCAAACTGGGTGTGCCCTTTTTCGAGGGAACTGTCTTGGGGGCTGTGTTAATCGAGAAAAGCTGACAAATTTGGGGCTATTTGGAGACAAACCCCAAGTCCATGGATTCAGTTGCCCGAGTCGCAGTCGCGACTAAGCCATAGATTCGATCTCGCCTTGCGCGAGGCAAGGCGAAGGTGGCTCGTCCCTTTTTGAGTGCACCTTTTCACGAGAGAGGGAAAAAACACTGCCAAAGAGCCCTCCCTGCGCGCCTAGTGGGACATGTCAGCTGTCACCTCGTTGAGGAGCCACGCTCCTCTAGCGGAGGACATCCATTCACGGCCAGTGTCGGCCTGGCGGCAGACAGGAAAAACCAAGAAATGCGTTCCGGGCGATGGCGAAAGCACTGTTTCCGTTGTCCCCTCACGCACCATGGCCCCCACACCGCTTCCAAACTGCTTTGACCTCAACCCCGACAAACCTGGTATTGGTCAAACTCGGCATTTACTTTACGGGGGTCGACCCAAACCGTAAAGAATCAACACGCCAGCTGCACCTTTTCATGATTTGGGACAGTCCCCCCAAAACGAGGCACTTGGAACTGGTTCGTGGAATTGATCCAGACCCGGACCTTGGATGATTTTTGTCGGGGTGCCCCAAAAGAGTCCCGGCTCCTTCTTTAGCAACTGCGCCAGGCTGAATCCTTGGTTGACATTGGAAGGGGAGCACAAAGCTAAATTTTAGCAGTCGGGATTTCAAACTAAACCACCATAAGCAAAAATGGGCAACATGTTTTCCAAGAACAACCATGAATCTGGGGTCAACAGGTCTCCTCCATCCAAATATCGAAAGGTGTGTGGCATGAGAACACCCAACAAACCTCTGGAGACTTCCTACAGGAGTGGGCGCCTAGAAAATCAAGCGGCTCCTGCAATCCGTGGGGTCTACCTCGGCTTTGAGGCTTCTAGATCCAGGTTCATATTTATTCCACCCAAACGTGTAGAATGATTTCAATAGGTAAGAGACTCGGAGACAACCCCGAAGTTCCTAAATTGGATCGTTCCACAAGGGGCAATCATTATTTCCCCAAGATGAGCCAGGCCACCCCTCTTCAGCCTGGGAGCATCATGGATGAAACCTGCACTGCGAAAAGATCTCTTGGGACTGCAGGGCGATCTGAGGAAAGGTTTCGCCTTCAGAAAGGGGAAAGATTGAAACGCCAGAACCTCGGCCAAAAAAACACCGCCAAACACCTATTGAGACATAGGTTCAGTAGGGCTGTCATGGGGTCCTTCCCCAAAGGAGTTGGCCAAGGCTGTCAAATATATTGCACCTGGGTGTGTCTTCAATAATTAGACCCGAACATGGTGGTGAATCCTTTGGTTTCCCTTCAGAGCAACCCCGCAAACCCCCAAATGGTACATTCAAACAAGAGAGAGCCCCTGAGCACTATCCCCATGGGTGGTTTCCTTGTCTACCTTTTGGGTCAAAGCGAGAACTCAGGCCTTCAGTGGGAAAGAGAAAGGACGCCGTTCTGGGGACAACAAACACGCACTGCTGCAGGTCTAAAAATGGTATTTTTCATTTACAGGGTTCAAACACATTTGGGTCCGTCACCTCCAGAGAAAAAACAGGATCCGAACGTTTGGGATTCAATCACGCAATTCCCTTGGCGTCACAAAAGGTGGCAACACTCCAGGTAGCTCCGAAAGTCTCCCTCGTACACAAGAAAATTCCCCTAATTGTATCAAATGGGTGTCCTCTTTTAAGAACCCCCCCCCCCCCCAAAAAAAAAAAAAAAGAAGAAGAAGAACTTCAGTTGTCCTTTTGGTTTCCCTTTAAAAGCTAACCAAACAAGAGGTGCCCTCAAAAGAGACACACCAAACTAGAGCCATTCTTTCTGGTCGCCTTGGTTGCTGTTGACCCCTCTGCAAAAAGCTTTTAACTTTTTGTGGGTTTAATGGAAAACCCAACTTCATTTCCCCAAAAGTTAAAGTCTAAAGATCCAACCCACTAGCAGTCAAGTTATAAAACGCCCCCCGGCCTTGGCCAAGCGGTGCAGCGCGGTAGCGCGGTGCAGTGGCCGCAGCTGGGCCTGGCGCCGCCAGCAGAAGTCCAAGACGTCGCTGGCCTGCGCCCGATCGGGCCGCCCGCTAGCCCCAGCCCATGGGGCGGTTGGTTTTTGGTCTAAGCCAACTACATCCAAAACCACCAAGGCGACAACAAGTTCCTGCTACAGATCTTCTATAGACAGGCTTGTTTCAAGGATACATACAAAACCACCAGCCCCCCAGAATCATTTTGGGGGCTGCTTCGGAAACAGGCCGGCCTCTACCCTCTGCGAATCTCTGCGAATTACGCCGGAAACAGGGGAGCTTTTCTATGAAGCACCGTGGTCCATCAGAGGAGTCAGAGGAGTCAGAATCAAAGCCCGGTAGTCGAATGGTCGTAATCCCAAGAGTTTGAAAAGGCAACGAAGGCACCCATTGATGGCAAGGGGATTGTCCCTTACCCTCCAATTGCTCGGGTTTTGATTGTGACGCTGATTCATGAGGATGAACAAACCCCGCAAAACCAACTGGTCGCCTTTCAGTGAATTTTTGGCACTCGCCAATTGGCGTGGGGAAGCCTATGGCTGGGCACGACTATATTTCGAAGACCTGAAAATAAGAGTTGGAACCCCAACCAAAGGGTTCTACATAATAACCTCGTTTTTCCCCACGATCGATCAACCATGGAACACCCACAGCTTAGAAATCCTCGTTACCCAACTGGAAAGCGGACGCACTAGAAATGCTAACCTCGGATTTATCCGGCGCACCCTACAGTCCAAGGATCCCCCGTGCGGCACGGTCCTTCGGATTAATCCGATATTCACATAGACAGAACAGGCCCAACCATGGCCCATGTCTGAAGGAATCCACATGAGCCGGGGAAACTGAGCGAGTCCACAAGCTCATCCCTCCCACTGGGCCTAGGCTCTTCCTTTCTTGGCCGCTTTGGTGGGGCCCGGGGGTGGCGCTGAGGGCTTTCTAACCCGAGGAGCACCCCCTCTCCGGCCTTGAAGGGTTCTGCTTGGGTGACAGTGCCCGCTGTTTGGTGCCTTTTTTGCCCCGACCCCAAAACCAAAGAAGAGGTAAGCCACCCATTTTCTTGCGACCCCGTCCACCAGGTCCCCCTTAACAAAGAGAGGTTAGACTAAGGGTACCAACTTTCTTCTGTAGTCTCTTTTAGCAGGGAAATCCTCCCCCCAACCAAGTTGGTGACAAAGGGCACCTAGCTGGGGGACCTAGCTAAAAGAAGACCCGCCCACCCCGCCGCGCTCAGCGCCGCCCGCGTCGCCCACGTCGCGTCTCTGGCCTCCGCCAGCTGGTCGTTCAACCGCCGCGCCTGGCGCTCCTCCGCACTTTGGCCCGAGACGTGGCCACGCAGACCTCAGACGCCGAGGTGGGGGGCGTGCCAGGGGCGTGCCAGGCCCAGGCCAAGACCTCGTGGCGTTTTGGGGAATGAACCGGTTTTGGGGAGTCACCTTAAGGAAAAACAGAGGGAATGAATGACCTTCAAGGTTTTTGGGGATGAACGGGTGTTGGGGGGATGTGCTAGGGTACTTACTATAGGATGGATGGGTGTCATGCGGGTCATTCCATTTCTCATTCTTTGCTGAGTTCCCCCCCCTCTAGTCAGTTGAGTGGATGGGCCTGAAACTCACTTCGTAAGTAAACTGGCAACAACACTAAATTGGTCTTCCCAAACACTTTAACGTCCAGGAACAGGAAGTGAAAGTCACCGTTTGCAAAAAAAAACCTGTTCCGATCTCCCGCATCGTCCAACATGGTGATCTACTTCTTTAAATCATGGAACCCCAGTGAGTCTCTCATCCACGCCCGGTTTCCTGTGAAGGGCCCAATGGCCGGGGTATTTCTTCTGGGAACCCCATAAAAAAAACCGACCCCGAAAGGGGCAGGCCTCCAGAAACATATCACAATCTGGGCTTGCGGCATGTAGCTAACAGCGGAGCATAGTTACTAGGGAGGCAGGATTCCCCGGAGGGGCCTTGCACATCGCCCAGTTGCCCAGACACCCTAGAGAAAAGGAACTTTGGGGTTGACCAGAAAGGGGGGAACCCAACCAAAAGGAAAAAGGGGGCTGCTTGACACCAAGCACAGGGTGCACGCATTTACCGCAGATCCGCCAAGATTTCAAAGAACCACAAAATCAAGCCATCTTGCGGCCGGTTGAACGCTGTGCCGCGGAAATAGCCATTGGCTCCCTTCCTGAGATTGGCCCGGAGCAACCAAACTTCTTGCTTGCCAACATGGCCTTCCCAAAAGTCACAACTGAGCAGTTGCTGGGCAATCCGAAACAAAGGTTTGTCCCGTGGATCGCCGCTCCAGTTCTTCCATTCATTTGCGAATACGCTCCCCAAGAATGATGATGTATTTGTGGTGAAATTGATTCCCCTTCATTCCAAGAGGGAAACATATAACAGAACTTAAGCAGACATGTTATGGTTCCGGAAACCTTTTCACACCCAGGCCCCCAGTGCCCATGGAAGAACCGGCCACTCTTTTTTTGTTTCCGGTACGTAGCTTCTCTTTCAGGGGAAAGCCCTGAAAACACGAAAAAGACGAAGCAACCTGCTGGGGTCTGGGACCAAGATGGTTGAGGTTGATGCAGGCCGTCAAAAAAGAAGTCCCACTGAGCCCCGGGGGTTGAGGCTAAAAGAATTGGCCGAGCTTTGTGACAGATCGAACCTCTGGGCGTTTTCATCGTGCAAAAAGTGGTTGCATGGCGGAACTTGGGCCATCCAACTCAACACAAGTCTAAGGAACCGCCTGGGAAGCCGAGAGAGGGCGAAAGGAGCTCCCTCTTCCGGCAACGACTGGGGCACCGGCGCATGGCTTGGACATGGGAGAGGCAACGGTCATAAGGGGACGAACCAGGGGTAGTTCCCGTGATAGCAAGGAAATGATCAATTCCAGTGGGTTGCGTTCGGAATGTTGGAACTCCTAAAGAGGGACATGAGGCGGCGCTTTTTTGGAGGGTAGCCCTTTCAGATTGGTTTAAAGAGAAACCCAAAAGGAACACCGGGCAAATCCCTATTGAGAAGAGCCAGACCGAAATGCGAGCAGCCCCATTGCAAATGGCCGATTCCGTGCGAAGCTGATTCGGCTTTGTGGCTTGCCGCTTCATTGGACATCGCAAACGGGCAAAGGGTAGCCTGGTACACCCCGATGACATCTGTTAAATCTGCGTATCATTTCAAGGCGTCAATGATGGCCCGGGAATCCGGCATCGATATGCTGACTGGATTCGGGCAAGGGTCAAACACTGATCTGCAACTAGGTCCTAAAGGTACCCTTTCTGCTGTAGTCTAATCTAGTTTAGTAGGGGAACCCTCTCAACCAAAAAAGGGGTGAGAAAGGGCACCTGGCTGGGGGACCTAGACTTGTAACATCAAAAACCTGAAATAAGGAATCCCCAGTCGAGGACTTAAATCATGGCCAATCTCGTTTTGCCAACTTGCGACCCATCTACCTTTCTCAAGCCCGGCCCTGGCCTTGAGCCAAGCATCCAATCCGAGACACGTGAGCCACAATCAAAACCTATGATTCAAATGGTCTACCCAGAAACATGTAAAGAACTCAGACGGCTGCACCTATTTATGGTTGGGACTATCCGTGACTAATTGTTTATCTACCCAGGTTTTGATGACGTGGCTGATGTGGTGCCAAACGAATGAGAAATGCCAACGGTCTTCGGCTGTGAAGGGCGGGAGCTTGTGCGAAGATGGGCCCTATACCCAAAGTGGGGAGACCTAGAAAACGCCTTGCTTTTGGTCTGGGCATAGCGACCTATTTCAGCCCCTTCGACAGGCTTCGGAGGGCTTCTTTGAGAACAAACACCACACCGTCTCACACCTGAGCTGCCAAAACAAGATATGAGACAGTGGAGACACCTACCAGGCAGCAACTGGGAATTTGAAGGTATCTCCAAGTCTCAACATTGGACATCTCCAAATGGCAACTCTGTCATCCGTAAATGAGCCAGAAAGGGCAAACAAGCAGTCGACACCCCCCTAGCAGAAAAGCAAAAAAACGCCATGGATGGAATCGATTCGGTTTTCCAATGCCAACTTAAATCTCATAGCCCTCTCACCTCCACACTTTAACACCACTTCTACGCAAGCAACCTCTAATCCGACTGCTTTGCGCTCTGACCTGGCTCCCGGAAAGTCTCGCGGTGCCGCCGTGCAACTGCTTCGTCTCATTTTGCCCGTCTCGTTGGCATCTCTGTGGCTAAAAGCTTCACTTTTCGTGGGCTAAATTCGGACCCCCCACTGAACACCAAGATTGAAGATCCAACCCACCGCGCCCCCCGAATGCAATGCAAGTTCCCCCTGTTGAAAAAGGAAGAAGGAACAACTGCTTCACCTGCTGTGGATGGACGAAATCCGGAAGTGCCACTTTGAAACCATGGTTAAAGCCATTGCTTGATGGTACTTAGGTTGGGGAACCGAACTGATCGGTGGTGCGCAATGGATTTTGCAACTATTCACTGCCCAGGTCCTCCAGTAGAGAGCTTGAATAAGGGTACCCCTTTTTCTGTAGTCTATTGGTGCGAATCAAGTATCGAACTCGCCCAGCCCCAGCACAGCTGCCTTTTCGTCGCTTGCATTCGCTAATCTACCCCCCGTGGGGCATGTGTGCTACCGGAGCAGGCATGCGCTGGTTGAACGTGGCTCGTAAGACGGGCAGTTGAGAAATAATTCCGGCAAGCTTGAGCTGATGCAAGAGCAATAAGTGGGCATGAATTTTAACAGGGGACCCCTTGGTGGACATTGAGATGGGGATTCATGCCCAAACTCAAAGGCATGAGGGGTTGCAACCATTGCGGTTGAGCGCAGCGTTGCATAGCGCAGCCTGCATCGTCTTCCATTGCCTTAGATGCAGAGTGTACATGGCAAGGTGACAGGATTGCGCTGCGTACTGTGCTTCAGCCGGATTAAACAAAACCAACTTTGGCGTTCCGGGAAGCCTTTTCCTTCTCACTGCGGAAACTGACAAGAAGCAACGCAACTGCCTTCGATTTGCTGGTGCAAAGAACAAGTTGGCGTCTTTGTCATTCTGTTCACAGCTTTCCCAAGACATGGAGAAAGACTGCCTGGCAAACAAAAGAAATGGTCTACCAGCATCACCCTAGTATTTCTCGATTGAAGGAACACTGGGCTCTTCTTTCGAAGTGCACCAACCATCTTTCTAGGTCCGCTTGAAAGTGCACTCCGACTCTTTCAGGGGGTCGCACACATCCAAGGGTTTTCCGAGTACACCCTGGGATTACGCCCTCTGAGGAATCACCCTATTCTAGCCGACTTCCAGAAAAAGCTTGCTTATTTTGGCTTGTTTGGGATTGTTTCCTTAGAACACATATCCTCGAGCTGCTGTGCCAGAGTGCTGAAAGATCAGAGGGGACGGCCAGTCAGCCAGAACCGACCTTTGTTTGCCCCATCCGTATGAACCGAGTCGCCTCTTTTTGGAACCGAAGTATCGTGAGTCTTGAGCTTGGATGGCTTCGGGTTTCGATGCATCCCTTTACCAACAAGCGGTATCCTCAAGCCACACCTTCTAGCTGGCTAGTGCCCACGGACCTGCCATCCGATTTCACAACTTTTATCTCGGGTTTGAAGAAAGAATCCGGATGAGTCAGGGGGATCCGGAAGCCGGACCTATGAAAACATGGGGACCCCCTCTGACACCTTCGACCAACAATCGCACCGGCCACAAAGCCTGGAACAAGAACTGGATGTGAATTTCGTTTGGAGTCAGCACGCAAAAAACACACACACACACCCATGTGGATGTTGAAACATAATTGGAGGCTGGTTGATCAATGAACCCTGGAATGATTCACAAGTGGCTGTCCTTTACTTATAGGGCCATCCCCCCATCAACTTGGTTGATTCATTCAGGGCCGACCCAGGGTCGACATAATCTAACACAAAACAACAGAATCCAACTTGAACCCCCAAAGCCAAAGTGCACATCCCTTCCGGATTCCTTCCGACATACTGTGGATGGACGAAATCCGTTCGCACCATTTTAGAAGCCCTGGAATGATGCTTCCCCTGTAAATACCAACAAACAATGGTTTCCCAGAGTTTCTTAGGTGGTGCAGGATTTCGTCCATCCACAGTATGGGCTATGTAGTGGCATAAAGCCGTGAAATAAGCGACATGGAGCAACTCCTTTCGTGGGTTCTATGTGAAGGGAGCAGTGGGTCTCCGGCGGCGAACAACCCAAAGCCGACAGAGCCCAAGCCAAAGCCGACGTGACCCCCAAAAAACATGGACGGCCAGGGGCACATCTTGGTCGCACTCGAATCCTGGTATTGACATGGCTTTTTGAGGGTAGCTGAAGCGAAAGGGTTTTTTCCCCAACTGTGAAGAGCTGCAGATCTCCGCCCTGGTGTTGGTGAGCTTTTTCTCGGCCCAAAGGACCCAGAAATCAAAGGTGAACCTTTTGGGCCCACCAAAAGTAGAGCCAAACGGGAAAGCCAGGTCCAACTTGGTGGAAATCGGACCACTGAGTATTCTAACTAGGTCCTCCAGATCTGAGAGGTTAGAATGAGGGTAACTACCCTTGTTCTATAGTCTATTCTTAGTAGGGGAACCGAATCTCCCCCCAAAAAGTTGGAAGCCAATCTTCCCGAACTTCGAGCCAAGCTGCTTGCAAAAGAGCCAGCTGCGGGCTGCCTCTTAAGCTCCTAAAGGAGCAGGGCAGAGCGAAACTGGCGGATCCGCATCTGGATGGGTCCGTTCGCGTTCGACCCCGGACGAGTTCTGGCAGAATGGGGGGCCCTGTTCCACTGCGTCCCGGAGTGAAGGCACACCCCTAATGAACCAAGGGTCTAGTGATCCCTCGAAATGGGTGTTTTGGAGGGTACTCTTTTAGGGGTTGGTTTAAAGGGAAACGGCAAAGCGACAGGAGATGTCCACCTCGTTTTGTGGGTCTCACCTATTTTGACGCATCAAATTAAACGAGGTGCCGGGTGCCGTTAGCCTCTGGTCTTTTTTTGCCAAGGCTTCCCCACATTGCCGCACCCTCCGCATCATCTCACGAATTCGCATGGAAGATGGAACTTTACTCATCCAGATGCTCGCACTAAGCCTCCACAAAGCTGAGAGCTGGACCGACGATTTCGCAAATCTCAGCTTTGGCGCCCAACCGAAAATAGGATGGCTAATGGAATGTCGAACTTCGGGGTGAAGCCTGAAATGTCAAATTTCAAAGGAGATCATGATCTTCTTGCTGGTTGGTCCTTCGCCGGCCAGGTCAGCTGCTATAAACAATTACAAGGGTGTCAGGCCTCTCGCTCGCGTGCATTGCGTTGGAGGTCAGCTGAGTGGGCCAGAGTGGGCCAGATGGGTTGAAGGATGCCTGACCCCCCTATGGGGGGGTGAACCGGAAAGAAAGAGGCTCGCGCTTAGCTCAGCATCTTCTCCTCAGCCAAGGCAACCCTTGCGAGGGCATGTCCACCATTTGCTTGAGTCCCCTGGAAAAGAAACAACATATCTTCTAGGTTCCCGTTCCAAGCAAACAGGGGGACAGCAACAGATTTGTCCATTCAACATAGGCTGTCAGCAGACTTAGTTCCACTTCGGACATTCTTGGAGGGGTAGCAACAAATCCACAGATTGATTTGTAAGTTGACAATACTTCTTCCAGCCAGTAACCAACCTGCAAAAACATTTTCGGGGGCCTGCCCAAACCTTGCTGGAACGAGCCAGGGTTTGGGAATGCACCTGGGGATTCCCTGAAAGGAAACCATAGAGGATGGCTACTCCCCGATTCCCTGCTTAGAACCAAGAAAATAATACCTTGGTACATCCTGCATGCTTCATTGAACATTGGCCCCCCGTGGTGCACAGAAATGACGTTCCATATGT